TGGGTTCTCAATGTGCCTGTGAAACTGCACACTCCTGCATCACTGCAGTTCTCTCTGCTTTTCACCCTCCTGTCAAGACCCTAGTTTGAGGTGGTCAAATTAAGATCTGATCCTTTTATTGTCTTTTCTAGAAACACCGCGTTCCTCCCTACTTCCACACCTTAGCTTTGATCCAATCAGAAATTTTGCTTTAGTTGAATAGGCTGTTATTCTCCTGCTATCTTTGTCTAGCCTCATCCCTCTGGAAGCCATTTATCATGCTGACCTTTTTAGGAGGAATCCTCATGAACTGAGCTGACAGAATCTTTTAATTCCAAATGGAAGGAAAGCAATTTTACCTGATTTAAGCAAAGTCTATGATGCTTGAATATTTTTTGCAAGTATTTCAAATTATGTCAAATTAGTGAAAAGGGGCACCTGCCTGGCTCAGTTGTTTGATCTCAGAAGTTGTAAGTTTGAGCCCCACATTAAAAGGAGAGAGTACTTAAAAATTAGTACTGGGGGTGCCTGTTGGTTAAACATCTGACTTTGGCTCGGGTCATGATCAGTTGGTTCATGAATTCAAGCCCTGCGTCGGGCTCTGTGCTGACAGTTTGGAGCCTGGAACCTGCTTCGGTTTCTGTGTCTCCCTCGCTCTCTCCCCCTCCACTGCTCACTCTCTCTCTCAAAAAACAAATATTAAACAAATGAAAAAAAGTTAGCACTAAAAAAATTTAGTGTAGTTTTCCTTTTGTCTTAATTCCATGGGGTACTGGGAAAGAAGGGCAGACACAGGGTCACTTTGGGAGAGAGTGTTGAACTGAAATTAAATACCACAAGGTGGCACACTTTTCCCATTCAAATGTAATTGCACTGGAGAACTCCCTAATAAGCTATAAAATAACTTGAAGTTTTTTGCAAGGATACTTGGAAATCACTGCTAAATGGTTTAAAGATCTAGTGGTGAAGTCAGTTTAAGAAATGGTTAAGAAGTGGGGCACCTGGGTGGCTCAGTCAGTTAAGTGTCTGACTTCGGCTCAGGTCATGATCTCATGGCTTGTGAGTTTGAGTCCCACGTTGGGTTCTGTGCTGACAGCTCAGAGCCTGGAGCCTGCTTTGGATTCTGTGTCTCCCTCTCTCTCTGCCCCTCTCCTGCTTGTGCTCTCTCTCTCTCAAAAGAAAATATTAAAGGAAAAAGAAATGGTTAAGGAGAAATCTCTAGGAGTTAAAAGTGTTTAGGACTGAGATCTAAAGTAATTCATGCAGGAAAGTCTCTAACACTTTGTCTGGTGGGGCCATATGGAGTAGAGAGGTCATTGATTCAAGGAATGTCCACAGTTACGTTTCCTAAATTTTGATTACATTTTGTGTAATGTGGGTTGGATTAACTCCACTAAAGATTTCCTATCATGCAAAGGTAAAAGATTTCATTTCCTTACGTGTGTCTGCACCAGGTATGTGAGATGTAGGTACAGGAAGGAAGGAGTAAAATGTAATGAGAGGGGGGAGGGAGGGAGGTAACAACACTGGTGTTGAGGAAAGGTGGGGTAAGTCATAAGCAGCCTGGGCCTTGGAACTCCACGCGTCAGGTACGGACAAGCGAGCAGTAGGGCAGAGCGGAGGGCCCTGCGAGGTTCTGCTGTGATCTGGCACGAAGTTGTCCCCATCCCACTCGGGTCAGCAAGCGGGGTCTTTCTCCTTAATGCACATCACCTCTCATAACTTGCACTGCCCAGGAAAGCCATGGTAATCTGCAGAGAGACAGACAGAGAGAGAGATAGTGCATGTGCACAGGGGAGGGGCCAAGTGCGAGGGAGGGAATCCAGAGCAGGCTCTGCTCTGTTAAAGTAGAGCCCCATGAGGGGTGGGGGGAGCTCAATCTTATGAACCAAACTGTGAGATCGTGACCTGAACAGAAACCAAGAGTTGGACGCTGAACCCACTGAGCCATCCAGGTGCCCCTGAACCACTGCTCTTTATTAAAAAAAATTTTTTTTAAATGTTTTATTTATTTCTGAGAGAGAGAGAGAGAGAGAGGTGGCATGAGCAGGGGAGGGTCAGAGAGATGGGGAGACACAGAATCTGAACTAGGCTCCAGGCTCTGAGCTAGCTGTCAGCACAGAGCCTGACACGGGGCTTGAACCCACGAACTGTGAGATCATGACCTAAGCCAAAGTCCGACGCTTAACCTACTGAGCCACCCAGGCACCCCCACTGCTCTTTATTTCAATTGCTATTTTAATTTGAATGACAGCAAAGGGAATGTACTGGCATTGTTTTTCATCTGGGAGGACCTAGTCAAAGGGAGCAACAGTCTCACACTAAGTATCATTTAACTGAGGATCTTAACCTAATATGGCACCGTCTACGGTCTTATTGACCATCTATGTGTCTAACACTAGAATTAAGGTATGAATGCAGAACTGCACAAAGGCAAATTTTGGCTTGGTAATAGTGCTTACTGTGACATGTTCTTCACACTTTATGGGCTCTTGCTCACAACCCAGAAGAGTTAGTGGTACTATTATCTCCATCCTCGATTAGGTAACAGGTTCAGAAGGGAGCTTGGATTCAATCTCAGGTCTGTCTTACTCTAGAGCCCATGCTCACACCACTGCAAGGTGAACCTTAGAGTTCAAAGACAGGTCTTTCACTGGAAGATTCAAGTCTGTGCTATACCACCTGCTAATAAATGAGGGGAACCTGTCAGGAAAAAGTTACACTGATCCATTCACTTCTGTTTTTTTTTTTTTTTTAATGTTTTATTTATTTCTAGGAGAGAGAGAGAGACAGTGTGAGCAGGGGAGGGTCAGAGAGAGAGGGAGTGACAGACTCTGAAAGAGGCTCCAGGCTCTGAGCTGGCAGTCAGCACAGAGCCCGACGCGGGGCTCAAACCCACGAACCGTGAGATCACGACCCAAGCGAAAGTCGGATGCTTAACCAACTAAGCCACCCAGGCGCCCCTGTTTTCTTACCTAGGCAAGGATCTGATAGATTTCTGACAGAATCTTAACCGACATTTTAAAGTATAAACACTGTAAAGTTTAAGATGATTTTTATTGAACAGGTATAAGACTCACCTTAACATTATTACAAATACAATAAAAGCTTTTTTTTTGGTAAAAAAAAAATTCCTGGATTTATAGTTGTACAGTAAAACAAATACATAAATATGAAGGTCATTTCCCAAGTATTAGAACCATACTAATGGAATCACTTCCCTAACATTTTTTTTCGGTAAATATTTACATGATCACCCACAAGTATAGCAACTTCCAGAATAAGACGTATTTCCAAAATACAATCAAATAACATATCCTAAGTGTCTTTCTCTGCAAGGGATTTGGGCAATGAATAATCGGCAAGAGAATTTTGTTATATATAGAAAATGAACATAAACATTTGTAAATGCAGACTATGCTGTCTGTGTAAATAAAAAACTTTGCCAGCTTTGTCATATAGGGAGTGGCTAGAGACCAGTCACATGACTAAAATATACTGTGTATATATTATCCTATGAAAAGTCACATATAAGGTAATAATAAGGCCTTTGTTTCCAGAGTAGTCTTAAAATAAGGTTAATAGGCTTATTTCATCCTTTATATTTTTAGAGTTCATATTCCTAAACAACTCGGCTATTAAAATTATGCATAGTACCTAAGCCAACACAGAGAGCGGCATTAACAATTTCAGTTACAGTATTGGACTATATTCACATGACGTACCATCTAAGAGCTGACCAAGTATAATTTCTGAACTGTCCCAGTTAGACCTGTTAAAACAAAATGCAACCCCTTCACATGAGCCCCATTTCTTTCAAGCATATTATAAAAGTCTTAGGAAGCCTAACAGTTCAGAGTATTAAATGAGGTATTTTTTTTTTAATTTTTAGATTTTTTTAAATGAAGTATTTAATGCTGTCAGCTTGAGCTTGCAAAGCAGTCTAGTTAGCATGGAAATCTCAGTCAAAAATTACTTCTGGATGTTTTATGTTTTGGTTAGTGGTTAGCTGAAGATTTGTTTTCCTTCTAGAAACAAATGGGCTAAGGTGGTGGACCTTGATGGCTCACAGTTTTCATGAAAAGCAAAATAAAACAGAAGAATCTAGTTTGGATGTCATTACTCTCATGGTATTTTCCTAGAATGGGATGATGGACTTTAGGATTCTTGGTCAAGACTTTCTCAGATTTTAAGTACTAATCCACATCAGTTGCTTGCATATGGAAGCTTTCAACACGACAAAGGGGAGTCAACCATCAAAATGCAAACTGATGGTCCAGGGCTGCTCTGCCTGCCCCCTTCACATCCTCTCTGGTCTCAGTTACCAGCTCAAGTCACAGGAAGTGGGCTCCTGACCAGCCTCTGTGATTCCCCCAAACAAGGCATATAAGATTTCTGCATCTGACCACAAATATAAAGCTTTATATGCCAAATATATATGCCATTAATGTTTCTCTAGGATAGGATTAGAAAAAGACAAGGTTATATATCTGCAAATTCTCTAAGACTGGGTGATTTGAAATTTGACTTAAAAAAAAATAGAAATTTGACTTTAATATTTAAAAATCAATTTACTAAAATCTTATTTTTTCAAATCCAATTTTCTAAACTCCAAATAGAACCAAAAGTGCACTTGGTATTTAAAAAGTAATTTTCTTCAGTAGCTACATGGTTAAGATACAGCTACACCGTATATGCTCTAAGAAAAACCAAAAAATAAGGCAGACACTCAAGTGAACTTTAGCAAATATATCAGAGGACTGTAATGAAATATGAATGCAAAGTATGCCAATGCAACACAAAATAAAATGAATCCAGACTTGCACTGATTTTTCCCTAATCAATTTTTCTATTTATTAAAATGATTTCTGGGGCACATGGGTGGCTCATTCGGTTAAGTGTCTGACTCTTGATTTCAGCTCAGGTCATCCTAAGGTTTGTGAGTTTGAGCCCCTGCATCCGGCTCTGTGCTGACAGTGCGGAGCCTGCTTGGGATTCTCTCTCTCCCTGTCTGCCCCTCTCCTACCTGTGTAGTACGTGTGTGTGCGTGCACATGCTCTCAAAAATAAACATTAAAAAAATAAAATGACTTTCTACTACATAAATCAAGACGTAACTGGTGGCTGCTAAACACGTGATATTTATGCTTTTCAAGATCTCCACATTTTGTTTTTAAAAAATAATTCTCTATCATTTTAAATACAGAGAGTCAGTCTTGAATAAAGGTATCAGGCCAAGAGCAGGCAAGGATGAGGAAGATGGGCAATGCCTGGATTACAGTACCTCTTACATATCTGAAGAATGTCCTCACTGAACCTTGCTTACAATCTATAGTTCTTATTTTCAAAACTGCAAAATTATTTGCATTAGTGCCAATGAAAAATATAGTCTAGAAATAATATTTTGAAAATAGAAAAATATGTTCTTAAAACGTCATATCTCTAACACTATCTTCTTACCTCTATTAAAAACTTTGACACCCCCCCCCCCAATAATATATAATGGATGGATCAACTCACTTGTTTATCACAGAGAGCAAGCAAGTCTTTACCACTGCAGCTAACGTTTTCCTTGGTTAGACTAAAATGTTCAGGTCACTTTTTTTCCTTTCAAAACAAAATAACAAAAGTATTACTAATGACTCAAAACCTTCTCTCTCAACATTCAAAATATTCTAATATGGGTTTAACCTTTAAAATATATATATATATATATATATATATATATATATGTGCAACAGTAGTATTGGATTAATTTGGAATACCCAATCCTTGCAATGTTAAAAAACCAAAAACCATAACATGAACTACTCAAGGTTTTCCTAAACCTTTATATTTGGATATTGAAATATTTTAATATATTTTTCCATTTACTTTGCCAAAATAAAAATACCTAGACCAAAGTTATTCACACATACCACATTTTTTGGGACAGGATTTTGAAAGTAAGGACTGGGAATTACTGGTTCTACAGAATCTACATTTTTCTTCAGTGAATGAATGATTAAAACTTGTCAAGTATATTAAACTTGTCAAGAAAATTAACACCTGTCATGTAAGACCAGAAAAACTCTTCCCACCTGATAAAAAGATAATCTACCTTCTGAGCTTGTTAAACTGGATCCAGATCAGATAATACTTATTTTAAAAGCTGCATTGGATTATCTTACCTTTTATTGTCTCAAAATAATGGCTGTTCTAGTAAAGGAAAAAACATACTATCCCGTTGTGGGGAGTTAAAATTGAAAACCACGAGTCCATGTCAGTAATGTTAGGCAGCTGTCCCCTGACTTATCTGCCACCTCCTTGGTATAATTTTCAGTTTCAGATAAGGCTAAACTTACACAGAAAAGGCTGCTTGGTTTTTGATGCTACATTTTCCTCCTGTTCTGAATTCTGACTCCTGAAATCAGCAGATATTATTCAGTTAGAACAACTCTTATGGGAGCCTACCATATTGAATATTAAACTTAGCTTGAATCTCATATATGGTGCTAGCAGTTCTGCAGCTCGACATTAACAAGCAACAGTGCATGCTGCATAATAACGGCGTTACACTCATTCACATATCTCAGACTTAAACACACTTATTCCATTTGTGACGGATATGTTTAGAATTAAGCATTCTACACGCTTCAACTGTAATATAACATTTCCCCAAAGCATGAACACCCAAACTTTCTATCAATTGTTTAACCAAGAAGAGTTAATAAACCTAGTATAATACCATACGTAGTATATAATATTATGGAAGATTTCCTTAAGAGATTATAACTATCTTGACAGAATTTATAGGGTTCAAGTCATTCACTTACTATCTCCCAAACATTAAAATTAAATAATTAGAGCCCAAACCTGTTGAGCACCTCTACTGTAGGTTTTAAACGTCAGGACTGAGCTATACTCAGACGAATAGTGTTGTTTTCCCCACCTGGATGTTTGGAAAGAAAGGCTTTTCATTACTGTGTGTAGTGACCACAGAAGCCGTGTGCCTCTAAACACACGTGGCATGGCACCTGGGTACTACTGTTCTGGTGTTCCCTTCTGGTGGGTGGGACAGGATGGCGGTGCACTTTGAGAGAAGAAATCAGTGTCAGCTTTCCCCTTGATAGAGGAACGTGCTTCATTTTTCAAATATGTTCATATTCTCCTAAGTGCTTGAATGAAGTGCCTTGACAGCTGGATTGCCCATGTCTCAAACCTCCAGGGAAGAAGCTTCAGTTCACCAACTTGACTTCTAGCGTTTGATCACAACTTGTTCATAAGCTCCAGACCCCACCCTACAACAGGAGTAAGAAGAAAAACACTTCAAAATCTTGACCTGTAATGTCTGAAATTGTTCTAATTAACCTTTCATTCACAGAGTTATGTGCATTAGGCATTTTGTACTAGATTTGGTTTCCGCAAGGTTTAAAGATATCACAGATAGAAAACACCTGAAATATTAAATGTTTAGAATCAGTACATTGGATTAGTCTAGTCACACTTATTCCTACAGTAATCTAGTGCTGTTCCTAAATCTTGACCTGTGGCAAGAAATCTTTTCTTTATTTAAAAAAAAATTTTTTTTTAATGTTTGTTTATTTTTGAGACAGAGACAGAGCATGAGCTGGGGAGGGGCAGAGAGAGAGGGAGAGAGGAAGAGAGAGAATCCCAAGCAGACTCTATGCTGTCAGTGCAGAGTCCCATGTGGGGCTTGAATCCACGAACCGTGAGATCATGACCTAAGCTGAAGTTGGAAGTTAGATGCTCAAAAGACTGAGTCACCCAGGTGTCCCTACATTGTGCCATCTTGCCCTTGCTGGAAAGTGCAAGAATTCTTTTAGTCAACATGCCAGTGTTTTTATGTGTAGTCAGTAATGTAAATTATACCTGTGTAACAGATTTGAAGTAACGTGATCCTGAAAAGGGGTTTGTTTCTTCCTTGGTTTGGCAGACTGCTGGATGTCCCTCTGAGTCTAGCCTTTCCTTCTTCACAGTTTTACCTGGCTACAGGCTGTCCAGGCTGCTCATCTAGAGGTCACAGTTCTTAAACACCATGTTGACAGGTGTTGCCATGTGACTGTTCCATGCCATGGAACATGAATGGGGATGTGTCAACTTCATCTCACTTGTTTAAAGAGCGATTGCTTGGGGCACCCGGGTGGCTCAGTCGGTTAAGCGTCCGACTTTGGCTTAGGTCATGATCTCACTGCTCATGGTTTGAGGCCCACGTCGGGCTCTGTGCTGACAGCTCAGAGCCTGGAGCCTGCTTTGGATTCTGTGTCTCCCTCTCTCTCTGTCTCAAAAATAAATAAACGTTAAGAAAAATAAAAACAAACAAAAGTGCAATTGCTTGCCCTGGTAGCAATCCAAGTTTGACAACAGGTGGGGGGATGGTGAAGGACAGAAAGGAGGGTACTTGGGTTAATGAATCACCTTGTACAGCAAAGCTGTCCTAACAGCCTGGCCACTGTATTTTCGCTATATGTATCTTTGTTACAGCAGCTTTGTCGCAAAGCTGCTTTGCCCGGATATTCCAGGTACTGACTGACTTCTATCAATAAAATATGGAGAATACTACAAATTTAAAATTGGCAAACTTTGTGAATAAAACGTGTTTAAATGAAGTAATGGGCTCATGCACAGAAGGTTTGTTATTGCTGATGTACCCAGCACTTTGGCCCTATGTTATAATGGAACACACATGTTCTCTCTATTGTTTCTTCATCTGGGAGGATACAGGTTTTTTACAAGTCTGTAAAAGCACAGTGTCTTTTTGATGGTCGCTGGCAGGGAGCAATCAGGCAAGGAGCTGAGTGGTGGTGTTGCATGGAGGGGGAGTACTGCTGCTTTCGGTTATTGCCAGTACCCATCTCCTCATGTGTCAAGACGCCAGCAGCTACACAGCCTGACATTTCACCCTGAGAATGCCGGAGATCAGTAAGATCAGAAGCAAACAACATGGCTAGTCTCTTCCTATAATGAAATTTTAAGAGGAAATTCTACAAAAAAGGGAGTAATGCAGTGGTTACCAGTCTACTGTGTACTGACTTGGAATTCTCAGTTAACTGCTTAGAGGCTCCCGTTCTTACAGATTCTGCAGAGGAAAGAGGCACCTCCTCATCAGAACACCAGTGAACACCCATTCACAGCTACAGATAATCAGAATCTGAAGGAGCCTTGGTGAACCGCACAGCACACTGGCTGGTAGATGCCCTGAAATGGTTCTGCTCTGGCAATAATGGAGTAAGAGGAACCAGACTTTCCCTCCTGCTGTAAATAGCTAGAAAATTTTACAGAACACACAAAACAACAGTGTCACATACTGGATGACAAGCAGCACAGGACTGGTCCTGAGAGAAGGGAAATCAATGAAGAAAGCCTGAAACAGTTTCCTTCAGGGTCCTCCCAGCCTGCAGTGCAGGAAGAGAGAACCCAAACACAGCCAGGTGGTCTTTATTTTACTTTTTAAGCAGGTTCCATGCTCATTGTGGAGCCTAATACGGGGCTTGAACTCACCACCCTGAGACCAAGATCTGAGCTGAGGTCAAGGGTAGGATGTTTAACCAACTGAGCCACCCAGGTGCCCCAGCCAGGTGGTCTTTCTGAGTGTGAGAGTCAGAGGTTAGAGCTCAGGGAGGCTAAGGTCAGAGCTCAGGGAGGCTAGGGGCTGGAATTTATGGGTTTGGATAATAGAAGGAGGGGAAAATAATGGCTGGAGAATTTCCAAATTTTGATGAAAACTGTAAACCCATGGACCCAAGAAGCTCAATGGACTCTAAGCAGAATAAACACAAAGAAAAACTCAGGCACATCATAACCAAACTGCTAAGAACCAGTGATAAAATATTAGAAAAGCAGCCGGAGATGAAAAATAAGTCACACAGAAGAATAAAAACCGAAACAAAAGCAGACTTTCTGTCAGAAACTAAATGTGTTGAAGGCAAGCAAGGAGCGGCCTGCAAGCACCCCTGGGGCCGGTCAGACTGCGTCCACTAGACTTCAAGTGTGTTACTGGGGATACTCCTCCTCAAGTGTCTACTGCTTACTGCTCTGTTCTCTTCATTCTCATGGGTTCACTTATTTATTTATTTATTTATTTATTTATTTTTTACAAATAGTTTATTGTCAAGTTGGTTTCCATATAACACCCAGTCATGGGTTCACTTTCTTAACCACATATGCGCCTCTTCAGTGCCCAAGTAAATGACTCTAGTTTCATTCTGTGCTGCCAGTTTATCTCTCAGAATAGATCAAATGCTAACACATTAGTTTTTCTGAGACACACTGGCTAGCTATGGAGAGCCTATGTGCACAGGTACTGTGCTGGGCACTTCAAATAGATCCATCTCCACAATAACTCTGCGAGAGAGACCTTTAATCAGTGTATATGGAGTACTTGCATATAACTGCATGCCAGATTATATTTTCGTCATTTACACGTCTTACTTCACTTATTTTAGACCTTGTAACTCTTACGAGGTGGGTTCTGTTATTGTCACTATTTTGTAGGTGAGGAGACTGAGGCAGAGAGAAGTGATATAACTTATCAAAGATGCATGGCTGATACGCGGGGGAACCTGGAACCAAACCCATGTAGCCCAACTCCAGAGCCTCTGTTAACCCTGGTGATAATGGGTGTCTTTTTGGTGGTAAGTAAGAGATGTAATTTGTCAGGATCACAGCTAAGCTAAGCTGGATTGTGATGGCTGAGCCAGGAATGAAACCAATGTCAGACTGCACGGCCCATTTCTCTTTTCGCCACGATACACTGTCTCTAACATTCCTTAGCCTTTCAGTGGCATGTAACATTAATCATTTACTTCAGCCCCTAATTATCATTTTAGGCTTTCATGCATTAGATGATGATTATTCTAACATTCATTTAGATCCCACCCAAAAAGGGTGGGAGCCAGAATTATAAATGCCTTTAGAGCCCAGGTTCTAGATTATTTCTCAAATAGAAAATTAGCTTTCTTTCCTCTGAATAACAATATAAACAGCTAGCATATACTGAGAGCCATCTGTGTGTTAAGTACGGTGTTAAATACTTTACATAACTCATCTAATTTAATCAGTAACATCCTACGAACTAGGCATTATTGGTCACTCCCATTTTTCAAGTGAGGAGAGTAAGGCTGACAGAGGTTAATTACATCAGTGAAGTCAATAGCGAAGGGGCCCTGACAAGGACCCTGAGCAGTCTGAAATGAGAGTAGATACAGCTGTTGTTTTTGAGCATTCACTATTTTGGTTCCTTTTGGTCGGAACTCCTATTGTTTGCTGTTCCTCTACCTAAATTAATAAACACTAGAGCTTACACTTTAAAACAATGCCATGACCCAGCAATAGCACTGCTAGGAATTTACCCAAGGGATACAGAAATGCTGAGGCATAGGAGCACATGTACCCCAATGTTCATAGCAGCACTCTCCACAATAGCTAAAACATGGAAAGAGCCTAAGTGTCCATCAACAGATNTCAACAGACGAATGGATCAAGAAGATGTGGTTTATCTATACCATGGAATACTACATGGCAATGAGAAACAATGAAATCTGGCCATGTGTAGCAACATGGATGGACCTTGAGGGTGTTCTGCTGAGCGAAATAAGTCAGGCAGAGAAGGACAAATATCATATGTTTGCACGTATAGGAGGATTAGGAGGAACTTGACGGAGGACCAAGGGGGAGAAGAAGGGCGGAAATGGTGGGGGAAAGGGAGAGAGGCAAACCATGAGAGACTCTTGAATGCTGACAAAAACTGAGGACTTATGGATGTGGGGGGGAGGGGGGGATGGGCATGAAGGAGGGCACTTTGGGGATGAGCACTGAGTGTTATGTAGAAACTAATTTGACAATAAACTATTTGTAAAAAAAAAAACAAAAAAAAAATAAAATAAAAAAAAAAAATAAAACAATGCCATGATGATCCCCACTTTTCAACAGGGGTAACTAAAGTTCCACTGAAGTTAAATGATTTACCGACTTTCAGTGAGTACTGAAAGAGATAATGTTAAGAATGGAATGAAACAATACATATGTGCCTGGCACATACTGGTAAATGCTCAGTAAGTGCTATCTACAAATATTATATATTTACTGTTATATAATTAGATATTATAATGCTTTGCCTATACATTCATTCTCTTTGAATCTACCACCAGGAACATTTGTCTTCCTCCTATCCACCTGATACTACCCCCTCTACCCACTTACCTTTGAATTCTCCCCAACACCCTCTTCAGGTGTCAAATTTCTAGTAAGTTTTCTCTCAGTGAGGTCCCATCTCTGTTCTCTCAGAGTTTCCTCTACTTCTCTATATTATAGTGCTTATTACACTAACATAAGTTTTAGTTTGTCTATCTCATCTGCTAGAAAGAGTCAGATAATAAATATTTTAGGCTTGGGGGGCCATTATGATCTCTATTATACTACTCAACTCTGCTGCTGTAGCATCAAAGCAGCCATAGATGATACATAAACAAGTGCTGCTGTATTCTAATAAAACTATTTTTACAAAAACAGGCAGTGGGCCAATTTGGCTCACGGGCTATAATTTCTCAACCCTGTGCTAGAAACATAGGCTAGCTGAGGTTGAACTGGGTCTTTCTGCTTTGCATCCTCACCCACGACTTGGCTGAATAAATAGCTACTGAATTTAATGAGTGGATGACTCAGCGAGAGTTAATGAAAACTATAAATTGCATTTACATCCTCTATAAACCCCAGTTCAAGTTAACTACTTCCTCACGGCCTCTTTATATGTCCCTCTCTTATCTCCCTATCACAACTGATTGTAGTTAGTTGCTGATGTAGGTTACTTGCTGTATCCTTTGTAACTTTTGGACTCTGCAACGTGCTGGACACACAGGAGGTACTCAGTAAAAGGAATATTGGTGGAACAAATGAATCAGAAATTCTTTCAGGTTTTGAGCATTAGAGAATAAAATACTGTCTTGGACCAAGGGGGCTTCTCAGTACATCTGTGACTTATTCTGGAACTCGACATAAATATTACATGAAAATACAGAGTATAAGGGATGTACATAAGGGCAGCAGTCAGAACTCCTTCACTGTCCCGAGCATCTGTGCTTAGTACTATTTGCTGCAATGTTGGGAATCATAAGTAAGTCCGGCGGCAGGTACCTTTTCTTCACCTGAATCTGAGTAACTACCATACTGATGTTTGGTTTTCTGAACTCTTCTTAGTATGTATGTTAGACTCTTGTAGGGGGGAGAAAGGGGAGTACAACAAAGGTTAGTACCAAGTGTATGCTGCTGAGTGGCTGTGTAACTGCTCATAACAGACCAGATCAGTGACTGAAGTGTAATTTTGCTTTGCTCTTTCTAAAATATCAGAATAAGAACTCTTTTCTAAACATCCTTTTTCACTGCATCTTGCCCAATGCTCTCTTGGTCCTCTACTACTACATTCTAAAAACACATTTAAGGAAACCAACAAGTAAAACTTACTGAATGTAACTTCAAACATACTCAAGATAAGGAAAACGAAGAGCTCTAATTCTTCTCATGGATGCACTATATGTTTTTTCTAATACAAACTTTGTAACCTTCACCTTCTACTCAAGAACATATTCTTTACTTAATACGATGCTATCTGGACCACATACCTGTTTGGAAGATGATGGCTGCCGAAGGTCGTACTTCCCCCAGGACCCACAAATAACCTCAGTCCTTCTTCTGCAATTCACATTTAAAATATTTGTCATAGGTACACATATTACATTACTGTCAAATAATATTCCTATTGTACTAAATTCATAATTTACATTTAAGTTTTATTAAATACATTTTTATTTTTAGAGTTTATTCTTAAGTAATTTTGACACCCAACATGGCACTTGAGCTCATAACTCAGAGATCAAGAGTTGCACGCTGTATTGACTGAGCCAGCCCCAAGAAATTAACTTTTAAAAAGCTACACATATATTTTAAAAACCAATTTAAAAGATACCCTTTTTTTAAAAAATTTTTTAAATGTTATATTTATTTCTAGGAGAGAGAGAGAGAGAGAGAGAGAGAGAGAGAGAGAGAGACAGCGTGAACAGGGGAGGATGAGAGAGAGAGGGAGACACAGACTCTGAAACAGGTTCCAGGCTCTGAGCTGGCAGTCAGCACAGAGCCCGACGCAGGGCTCGAACCCACGAACCGCGAGATCAGGACCTAAGCGAAAGTCAGACGCTTAACCGACTAAGCCACCCAGGCGCCCCAAGATATCCTTTTTTAAAAATTTATTTTAAGCAGGCTCTATGCCCAATGTGGGACTTGAACTCAGGACCCTGAGATCAAGAGTCACATGCTCTACTGACTGAGTCAGCCAGGTACCCCTAAAAGATATCCTAATAGTTATTTCTCATCAACTTCCCTAAAGTTGTTTTTCTTTGAAACTGAGTAAAAAAGATTTCTCTTCCTACAAATTTCCACAAGCAAGGTTTAATTACTTCTCTTTACAACCAGTTACATAATGAAACTAAGTCCATTGCTAACTGCTCTCTTTTCATGCCGGTGTGAATAATTACACCTTTCAAATTGGTGGCATACAAATTTTGTCTCAGTGAAAAAGCTGAAGAGGGAATAAAGGATTCTGTTATTCACTATCATCTCAAGATCACTGCAAATTACACACTTGTATCCAGTTATGACAAAGCAGATGCAGACATCGCTGTAAGGGATATAAACACAGTAGACGCTGATGCATACACAATAAAAGCTTTCCTTAATATTGATGTTTTTAGGGGGACCTGGTGGGGAGGTTCAGTCAGTTCAGCATCTGACTACTGATCTCAGCTCAGGTCTTGATCTCAGGGTGGGGAGTTCAAGCCCCACACTGGGCACAGAGCCTACTTAATCCACAAACCTTCTGCACTGGAATCTAGGCTGAAGTCTTGACTCTGCAGTATTTTCTCTACAATATCATCTGCATCCACTCTGGTGTCATCAACTCGCTTCAGCTGAGATTCTACAGAATCTTGCTTCACTGGGCATCTTTGAAAATAATTAGAAAAATTTTCCCTTCGTTTTATTATGTTATGAGAACAAAGTTGTTTACTTCCTTCCCATTTAAACAGACTGAAAAGATACCTGTTGAGCAGTTCCAAAGCTGAATCTTCTGGGGCAGCTGTATCAAGATTTGGCTCGGGTATTTTTTGCTCAATTTCATCACATGGCTCTAGGATACTTTCAATTCCTGTTGATGTGCTTCCCACTGAGGTATTTCTCCTGTGGCAGAACTCAGAGAAGCTGGATGACCGGGAGTGGCATGTGCTATACCCTGTTAGAGAGAAATCGCTTTGGGTAAAATACAAACACCACACACACTGCACTTGAACGTTCTTCTCCCACACCCTGGCAGTTACAAGTAATCCTTTAGAACGATAAATGTCTAAGGAATTCAACTTCACTGTTAGCCTCTACCTGATACTTTTGACTGCTGGCTTGCATAGCTTGACGTTCTAGAATGTCCACAGGCACCAAGCTCATCTGGAACAGAGGCACTCTTTGCTGAAAGATCTGCAATGTGTCATAACATGATGTTACTGTTACTGTCAAGAAGTCAATGGTCCATTTGTATTCTTGCCTGCAGATTTTATAAACTGCTAAGTTCATTATCAAGAAAAATTAGTTACAAAGTGAAAGAGACCCTTTTAAATTGGTACAAGGTAAACAAGTGCTTTGCAAGAAATATGAAAAACTTAAATACCATAGTTTACTGAAGAAATATAGTTTTGGGTGCCTGGGAGGCTCAGTTGGTTAAGCACCTGACTCTGGACTTTGGCTCAGGTCATGATGATATGGTTCAGAGGACTAAGCCCTATATTGGGCTCTGTGCTCACAGTGCAGAGCCTGTTTGGGATTCTCTCTCTCATCGCCCCCTCTCAATAAACTTAAAAAAATAGTTTTTCATAATATTTAAAAGCATTCTACCTTAAATAAAACCATTTCAGGGGTGCCTGGATGGCTCAGTCAGTGTCCAACTGCAGACTTTGGCTCAGGTCATGATTTCAAGCCCCACAATGGGCTCTGTGCTGACAGTGCAGAGCCTGCTTGGGATTCTCTCTCTCTGCCCCACCCCCTGCTCTCTCTTTCTCTCCCAAAATAAATAAATGTTAAAAAGGAGCATTTCAGTTTTTATGTTCAGTATTTCTCTACTAAAAATGAGTCAGTTGTATTCTTATAAATACTCACAAAATTGTGTGCTTTTTGAGAAAACCCTGCTCTCAAAAAATCCATCACAGCAGTAAACTAAAGAGCACATTGTTACTTTAATATTAGTGTTGCTAGTGCTAGGCTATACTTTGGGCAAATGTCTGTGGTTTAAATCAACACAGCAGGCAATATAGCAGTGAGAATAAAAGTTCTTAAGAATTGATTATAGTATTCAGTTTCAAAGTAAATGTATAAAAAAGCAGTGTCAAAGCCATTTCTAGCAGTTCTCTGATAATGTGCATATTCCAGATGCCAATTATGTATTTCCGGAATGAGGTTTCCACAAAATGCAAAAACTGTGGCCATTTTCATTAGCATGAAATATTTGAAAACTAGAACTGTTTTTTTCACTTAGAGGAGAAAGGAAGCCGACTGAGTAACATAGCAAGTACAGCTATACCCTGTTAGAGACCAAGCAAGGCTGCCAAACAAGTAAGCTACCGGAGTGACCTGGCCCTTCTGCGAAGGTTTCTCACTTCTGGGCAGGCTCTAAGATACAAACCCAAACCAGCATCCCTAGCCCACTTTACAGTGGTCCTAAATGCAAAGCTGATCTATAGGAAGATCTAAACCCAAAGAGGTGGTTGATATCAAGAATTATAGGACCAGGGCGCCTGAGTGGCTCAGTTGGTTAAGAGTCCGACTCTTGATTTCAGCTCAGGTCATGATCTCATGGTCATGAGACTGAGTCCCTTGTTGGGCTCTGTGATGGGCATGGAGCCTGGTTAGGATTCCCTCTCTCCCTCTACCCCTTCCCCTCATGTGCTCTCTAAATAAATATAAAGGGGCTCCTGGGTGGCTCAGTCGTTTGAGGGTCTGACTTCGATTCAGGTCATGATCCCACTGTTCTGTGCTGACAGCTCAGAGCCTGGAGCCTGCTTTGGATTCTTTGTCTCCCTCTCTCTCTGCCCCTCCCCCACTTGCACACTGTCTCTATCTCAAAAATAAATAAACATTAAAAAAATAATAAAATCTTAAAAAAAGAATAATATAGGACTTTTATTATTAAAATTTATTTTTTATTTTTTTTTTATTTTTTATTTATTTCTAGGAGAGAGAGAGATAACATGAGCAGGGGAGGGTCAGAGAGAGAGGGAGTCACAGACTGAAACAGGCTCCAGGCTCTGAGCTGGCAGTCAGCACAGAGCCCAACGCGGGGCTCGAACCCACGAACCGCGAGATCATGACCTAAGCGAAAGTCGGACGCTTAACCGACTAAGCCACCCAGGTGCCCCTATTATTAAAAAATTTTTTAATGTTTATTTTTGAGAGGGAGGGGCAGAGACAGAGGGAGACACAGACTCCAAAGCAGGCTCCAGGCTCTGAGCTGTCAGCACAGAGCCCAATGTGAGCCTCAAACCCAAGAACCGTGAGATCATGGCCTGAGAAGAAGCTGGCTGCCTAACTGAGCCACCCAAGACCCCCTAGGACTAACTTGTTAATTGCATCACTACACCTGTCTTTTCATTCTTTCAAATAATAACCCTGCTCACATCACATGAGAGAAAAAAGGAAGCTCCTAACTCCTTTTTCTTCAGGCAACTGAAAATTTTCGACTTTTACCTCTTGGAGCAGATTTTGAGTGTGGCTGGGAGTTTGCCTGGAGAGGTGGCTCTCAAGGTGTAGCCTGGGGCCTGGCAGCATCAGTGTCACCTTGGGACTCAGGAATGCAATTTTCGGGCTCCAACCCTGATCCGCCAGGTCAAAAGCCTCTGGCTGCAGTGTCAGCAATCTATGGTTTAACAAGCCCACTGGGCGACTCTGATCTACACTCATGTTCGGGAACCACCAACAGAGGAGAGTGTTCGCTGGGGGAGAAGCAACACCTGACAGGTGGCTGGTAGAAGTTGCTAGGCACACTCCTGTAGTGCCCCGTTCCATCTGTGGGGCTAAGTACACCACGGGCGGGGGTGGGGGGGTTGTCAATACAACGTTTAGCTGTTTATCCACCAGAGCCTGACATTTCAGACAAAATGAAGCACTGGCTTACCTCAAAATTGAGTAATTAAAACTGCTGATAAATTATTGGCCCGTTTCAAGCCAGGTACCCGAGGAATTTTTTATTTTTCTTTCCAAGATCTTTTTAAAATTCCAGTTAGTTTACATACACTGTAGTATTGGTTTCAGGAGGAGAATTTAGTGATTCATCCGTTACATATAACACCCAGTGCTATCATGGCAAGTGCCCTCCTTAGTGCCCATCACGCATTCAGCCCATCCCTCTACCCACCTATGCACCTCCCTTACTCACAGAAGTTTAAATGTGGGTGGGATTTTGGGAAATTCTTAGGATGTCAAGTAGTGTCATTTCTCATGAATTAAAAAAACAGTAAGCTACACATCCATACCTGCTATTCCAAGATGGACTTTGAGAGTCTCGCCACCTTTTCTATCTTCTTCCAGAGATTCAGATTCACCAGCAATTGGTATAGACATCGACGTTGAAGGAGGCCTGTAAATAAATATTTCTAAGGATCAGAACTTCATGGATGGGTGAAACTGAAAGCTTGAAATAGTGTTAAAGAATGGTTGTGGAGTCAGAGCACCATCTTAGTAAGGTGCCTGCTTAACGGTACCTCTTTGAGGGTGAGCGTCATAAAAAAAAAAATCAACATGACCTGTATAAGCTGCCTCAAAACTGGAATATGCTTCATAGGGAGAACAAAATGTTTTTACTCAACAAAAAATGTGAGATCAGAAAGGGCATTGCCTCCAGAAAGTCAGGAAAAGAGGGGCTCTGGTCGTGTGTCCCCGGCACCATCTGTGGAGGATGGTTCAACCGTCAACTCTCAGACAAGGCAGGGAGGTATCTGAGGCAGACAAGGAGCCATCTTTGTATCTGAGGTTGGAGGGGAATATGTCATGTCTCCTTCGCCAGTGTCTGAGCTCTCTTGTTGGCTCTACTAAGTTCTTAAATGGTACCCATGGTTTTAACTTCTACCTTCTTCTCTGTCGATGGTTCGCTTGCCCTAGGGGTAGTCTGTAAAGAGCCCCAGTTGTTTAGAGTGTTTTTTGGGGGCTGGATTCTCTAGGGGTAGGTGGTATTTTCATTAGCCAATTCAAGGCTCCTATCTCATGTGGAAGATGTGTAGCAGGTTGGGGCAAGTTTGAGTTCTAATAAGAATTTTTTTTTGTAATAAAACATCCCTAGTTTTTTGAGGTTGATAGTCTAGAGGAAAACCACATCTTCCTAGAGACTATCCCTTGGTGACCTGAGGTAAAATAGGAAGGTGGTTGAAAGGATAGTGGGTGAAGCTGTCTCACTATGTGGCAATTCCTTTTTTGTTTTTGTTATTTTGTATTTACTGAAATTCAAAACATACTAGCAAAGTACCTCTAAAACAAAGATTGCTAGAGTAAACTAGAAAAGCATTTCCAAAATAAAGATGACCAAAAATCAGTTAGCCTGAGTATATTAGTTGTTGCTAGAACACATTACCACAAACTTAGAGACTTAACATAAAGGTTAGAGGTCTGACATGGGTTCCACACCTTTGGGACTAAAACCAAGGTGTTGGCAGGATCACATTCCTTCCTAGAGGCTTTCAGGGAGAATCTGTTTTCTTGCCTTTTCCAGCCTCCAGAGACTGCCTGCATTCCTTGGCCAGGCTCCTTCCTCCATCTTCAAAGCCAGAAAGGCTGCATCTGACTGTTCTGTATTTCACATTCCCTCTAACCCTCACATGCTGCCAATTATCTTTTCTCTTGGATTATACTTCTTCTCTTTAAGGACGCTTGGGATTACAGTGGGTCCACCTGGAGAACCCAGAATAATTTTCCAATTTCGATGTTAGATTGGTACTTTAATTCCACCTGCCACCTCATTCTCCTTGGTCATTTAACTCAACATATTCACAGGTTCTAGGGATTGGGTGTAGACATCTTTGGTGCAGTGCAGGGAGGGGGGAGACATTACTCTACTACACACATTAAATATACCCCAGTGTAGTATTTTCACGACAGTTCGGTACTTGTCGTTCAGTTGCCTAATCTACAGAATTTATCTTTTTAATCTATGTAAAACATTAAACTGACCAGATGCAACAGTGACAGAAAAAAATGAAAAGCAATATAAAACCCATTGTACAACAGTACAAAGCAGTGGTTATTTGTATGCATGCATTCATGCATGTATATCTAAAACTATACATGTATACACATGTGTATATGTACATTACTGTGTGTGTACATATATATTATGTGGTGATTCTTAAATTCTTACTATAGTATCTTAATAGAATCCTCAGGTTATTCAGGTCCTTGAAGATATAGACATTTAAGACTGTCACTAAACCTATTTCAAGATTCTTTCTTTCTTTTTAATGTTTACTTTGAGAGAGAGAGAGAGAGAGAGAAGGTGGGAGGGAGGATGGGGGGAAGGTCAAGAGAGAGAATCCCAAGCAGGGATGTACAGCTTAATCTCACACAGCACAAGATCACAACCTGAGCCGAAATCAAGAGTCAGATGCCTAACCGACGCAGCCATTCTGGCACCCTAAAAAAAAAAAAGAATATATATATATATATATATATATATATATATATATATATTCTTTTTTTTTTTTAGGGTGCCAGAATGGCTGCGTCGGTTAGGCATCTGACTCTTGATTTCGGCTCAGGTTGTGATCTTGTGCTGTGTGAGATTAAGCTGTNTGAGCAGGGGAGGGTCAGAGAGAGAGGGAGTCACAGACTGAAACAGGCTCCAGGCTCTGAGCTGGCAGTCAGCACAGAGCCCGACGCGGGGCTCGAACCCATGAACCACGAGATCATGACCTAAGTGAAAGTTGGACGCTTAACCGACTAAGCCACCCAGGCGCCCCTTTTGGGCTATTTTCAAGTATTTGTTCTGTAGGTATGTTGAAGTCAATATATCCCCAGCTAAGGCCATCTTCTCTTCCTAAATCTGCTTTCTTCTTGTATTCTCCTACTCTGTGAATGTCATCATAGTCCATGAAGTCACTGAAACTAGAATCCTAGATATTGTCTCTGGGTCCTTCCTACTCACATTTCTCCATATCTGTACAATTTTCAAATCCCACAGATTCTCCCATATTTTTCCTATTTGTCATGTCTTCTCTGCCTCCACTATTTGTCTTTGTACCTTACGACCACAAGAGGCTCCTAGCTAGTCTGCCTCCCTCCACCCATGCTACTGTCACTGTGCTTTTCTGAAGTGTGCATATGAACATGTTATTCTCTGATTTAAAACATCTCAGTAGCTCCTTCCGGATAAAGCCCAAACTCCCTATAGGGCCTTTTGTAGTCTGGCCTAGACCTACCTCTTCAATTACCAAAGGCTTTATTTTTAAATAATGTGAAATAATAGTGGCCAAAAAAGCCCTGCATTCAATATTCCATAAGAAAAAGTAATATGCAAAACAAATACACTTACAAAGAATGGAGTCTACAGTCACAGTCATTAATCATTGCTGGTGACTCACGGCTGCCTGTCCTATCATTTTCATGCCAAGTCCTTTGTTCTTCCTTTCACAGGTGGCCTGATTCCAGGGTCTCCATCTCCCCCACCCCCCAGACCCGTTTTCCAACCTTCAGAGCTCCCAGCCTGTGGCCTCTTCCCCCTCCCTGTCTGTCTCCCTCAGGCTCCACTCTTTCCTGTTCAACCTGACTTCAGGGCCACAATACTTTTAGCAATACCTTCAGTTTGGCATCCCTTGTTCTGAGGTTTTCACAACACTCGAAGAACCCCAACCCTGATAATTTTAGCCTTCTTCACTAACTTAGTTAACCGGAGTAACTAAGCTGGGGAAAATTCATTAACCATGGGGACTGATATTAATTATCATCTAAAATCTTAGCTGGGCCTTGGCAGCTCTCCAAAGTCCCCCTACACAACTCAGTTGTGTTGAATAAACAATCACTGAGTGCTTAATGTGTGTCAGTTTTTATTCTATTACTCCTTTTTGTTCTGAAAATGTTTTGGTATCCCTTATCAGAACTTGTTTAATATAGCTCAATTACAGAACAGAAGAGATGAGATTTTATTTTAATGTTACAGTAATGTTAAGAGTACATGAAAAATTACTGAAAGTGACAATTTGGTATTCGTGCCCTGTAACAATGCCATAAACTCACGCAAGCCATTTTCTTTCCCTGGAATGTCCTACCCACCTCCTCTACTTGGTAATTTCTTATCCGTCCTCTAAAAATTAGCTCAATGTCACCCCCTCAGTGAAGACTTTCCTGGATTTCAAGAAAAAGTAGTTAGGGACTCTACCTTCTATGCCGCAGTATGTTCTATGCCCAGTCTCCCACAGAAGTAGTGAATCCTTCAGAACAGGGGCTGGCCTTCATTTAGTTTGGTAAATGTTAGCACATGGTAGACAATCAGTGCACATGCGCTGAATAAATGAGTGATCCCGGGATCCTGGACAAATTAGCTCCTGAACCTCGGAGCCTCAAGGTCCTCACTTAAAAAAAATATGGATAATGTATCACAGAATTGTTTCAAAAATTAAATTGGGAGGCAGTAATATTTACTAAATCATTTTGACAAACAGCACTCTCCTTCCTTCTAGAATACGAATGCTCCAGAACCCTAGCTCTTCAAGAGGATTACCATCCCAAGATCTGCTTTACCACCATATTGTCAGAAGTCAGTGTAGCATATATTTTTTCTCTCTCAAAATATCCTTTTTGTAAAAAAAAATTCTAAAGATTTTTATTTTTCTAAGTAATTTCTATACCCAGCGTGGGGCTCGAACTCAGAATCCTGAGATCAAGAGCTGCATGCTCCACCAATCGAGCCAGCAAGGAGCCCCTATCCTTTTTCTTTATTAGCACTAGAGGTTGGCTTTTTTTTCCCCCCAGCCAGTTTCATTGTTTCACAAGAGTTGGATATTTGATGAGTTGCAGAGCACTACAAAACAGAGTTTAGGGCAGGTAGGTAGAGGCTGACTTACCAGCTGTCTTATTCATAAATACAAGCCTTATTATGGTATGGAATTTATCTTTCAGAAAATGATACAAACTATGGTACAGACCCTCTGCTCATAAAATGTCAAAACTAAAATTTAAACCTGAGAATGCTGAAGGTCTGCTATATTCTTGTTAGTTTCTCTAGGTTTTAAAAAACTCTATGTCCTGAAAAATTCAGACAGACAAAAGCAGAGGCAATGGTAGAATGAACTTCTCCAGCAGTTATTTACATCTATGTCTTAGAAATAGTCAGGTCACTCAGGTTTTTGTGCCTTAGTTTTCTCATCTGTAAAATGAGAACTTGGATTATATAATACTTTTTAAACTAGCTTCTGATGAAGTTCTTCCCTTAGAGACTTTAGGGGTAGTAAGGTACTATCTCTTTTTGTCCCTCAACAGAAAAAAGTTATATACTGGGATTTATAATACATTTGAACAAAAGGATTTTGTGGCTAATATTCTGGAAAAAAAATCACTGGACTGGACAAATTCCACACTCTTTTAAGCTCTAGAGTATTGTGATTTTACATTTTGACATATACTGAAATACAATCTAACAAAAACAATTTACTTTTTATCTTTTTCAGAGAATGGAAATGGGGGAGAGGGGCAGAGGGAGAGACAGAATCCTAATCCACACTGAGCGTGGAGCTCAACGTGGGGCTCTATTCCATGATCCTGGGATCATGACCTGAGCCAAAATCAAGAGTTGGACATTCAACTGACTCAGCCACTCATGTACCCTCCAAATAATTTACTTTTTACATCAGTAATTAAAACATTTTTCTGTTTTTTTTTTTTAAGTTTATTTACTTATTTTGAGAGAGAGGGTGAGAGTGCGTGTGCACATGTGTGCACAGGGGAGGGGCAGAGAGAGACAGGGAGACAGAATCCCAAGTGGAGCCCAACTCTGGATTTGATCTTATGAACTGTGAGATCATGACCTGAATTGATAAACCACGAGTCAGATACTCAACCTAATGAGCTGTCCAGGCGCCCCTCAACATTTTTTTATTCGGTCCATACTCACTATGCGTAAGCTCATGGATACGTTTAGAGTTGTTACTTTTCCACTGACAGTTGTACGGTTTCAGATATTTGGAGAAACGAGAAAATAAATATTGAGAGTTTGGTTCTCCTGAGAAATACTTTTATGCATCTTGGGATTAGGTGAGGTCTGTTTATTCTAAGGAGCTATAAACATCTTTCCTATAAATATAAATTCTAGACTGTCCGAATTACATTCCTGGAGATAATGCAGAACATAAGATGATCTGTTTTTGAGCTCTTCAGTATTTGAGTTGCACAAGTAGAAAGATAAAATGGTAGAGAAAGGGCCAGAAAGGGAATATTCATGAGAAGGAATGATGAAATCCTTTTCTTCTACTTAGTTTTGCTGCTCATTTTCTCATTTCACCATAAACTGATTCCACTAGAAAAACACAGTTACCTAAGAAGCCAAATGTAGCACAGCCCAAATTGTTTAGTCTTAAGAGAGCAGGATATAAAGAAAGAAGCCAGGAAATTATGGTTCAAGAGATGATAGCATAGAAAAGTAAAGTTATAGTAAAATGCACAGTTTAATCAATAATTGATTTTTTATTAAATATGTATTTTCAACTTTAGAAAACACTGTAAGTAGGAAACTATATGGATGTTACTATTAAAGACATGGAGGTTGATGCATACGGAAAAATTAAGGTCTTCTTTCCTTTTCTAACTATATTTTTCTCAGATATTTAAGTAATATATAATTAATGTTCATTTTTAATTAAGTGTCTTCAGTCTTGCTAACAAGTAAGACTTCCCCCCTTCAGTTCATCTCCCACAATCTGACAGGACTCTTGCACATATTTCCTCTTTCCTCACACCCCCATCTCCATCTTTCCCATCCTTTCTTCAATGATCGTCTCACTTCCTATTTCACTAAGAAATCAGGAGCAATTTGAAAATAATTTCTATATGCCTCCGTTTCTTATTTACCTGCATCTGAAGCCATATTCTCTGCCTTCATTGCTCTTGACAATCCAAGGACACCGTCTAGCAACTGTCCTTTTTGTCTTCTGTGTCACATCTCTCCTTATTGAACCATTCAGATCAGTAAACAAATACCATCTCCCATGTCGAAACACCACCACCACCAACAAAACCCACAAAAGAACAAAGACCTGCCCTTGACCCTGTATCTTTTTATTTGTAACTTGATTTTCTGTTCCTTTTTTTGCAGCAAAATTGTCTATGCTGTCTCCAATTTTTCTCCTCTCAAGCCCTCTTTAACCCTGACTTCAATAAGGCTATTGAAGGTTCCCAGTAATCTATCAAAGTGCTTGTCAAAGGCACCGGTGGTTTCTGGACTGCAAATCCAAAGGTCAGTTTCCAGTCCTCATCTTCCGTGATCTACTTCCACGGTGTGGGACACAGTCGATTTACCCTTTCCTTTTGAAACACGCCCCATGCTTGGTTTTTCAGGACAGTCTTCCCCTTTGGTTCGTTCCTCTTCTTTCACAGGTTGCTCCTTTGCTGGTTCTTCCTCATCTCCCCAACCTCCAACACACTGGAGTGTCCCACCCCTCAGTCTGTGGTTCTTTATTTACATTCACTCCCTCTAGGTCACTTAATCAAATTCCATGGCTTTACGTATGCACTGATAACGTTGTGATTTCCAAATTTATATCTTCAGCTCGGGCCTCCCCACTGAACTCTTAGTGGTATGTCCAACTGCCCACGTGATGTGCCTGGCTGGATGTTAAACAGGGATCTCAAATGTGACATGCCCAATACCCAAGCTCCCAACCCCTAACCTGTTCCTCTTAGAGGCCCTGCTATTTCAGTAAGTGGAAAAACCATTCCTCTAGTTACTCAGGCCCCAAACCTTGGGACTACTAAACAGCCTCATAACTCCTCTACCTAGTTCTGCCCTTGCTCCCGTCATCGTTCCCCCAAATTGTCTATTCTCTAGCTAGCAGCCATAAGCCAGGTAATCCTATTCCCCTGCTGTAAACCCTCCGGGAGCTCTTTGTCTCACTCAGGTTATATGTGGCCAATGAGACTCTATCATCTGATGCCATCTCCAATCCCCCTACTCCTCCTCCTCTCTGTTCTAGACACACTGGTCTCCCGGAAGCTCCCTGGACATGCCAAACACTCCTTCCTCAACACCCTTGTCCCTGTTACTTCTATCTCAAATGCTCTTTCCCTAAATGTCTGCATGGCATGCTTCTCGCCTCCTTCAGGTCTCAGCTCAAATATCAGCTTTGCCAGGGAAGACTTTCTTGACTACGCTCTATAAAACAGCAACCTTTCTCCCCACCACGCCCTCCTAGCCTGCATTATTTTTCTCCAAAACACTCATTGCTCTCTTTTTATTATACATGTATTTATTAGCTTGTTATTTGTTTTCCTCTTAGAATACATGCTCCAAGAGGTCAGGGACTCGGTCTATTTTTTTCACGGCTGTTTCTCTAGTGTCTAGAATAGGGCGTAGCACATGGTAAGGCACCTAACAGGTATTTGTTGAAGAAATCAGTAAGTCTGCAGAGGTCAAATTAAAACATTTAATTTGTATAGTTTCACCCAAAACTTGAAAATGATGAAAGACGTATAGTTTAAATAATTTTAGAGTGTGGAGAGCTTGTTTGTAAAAGGTAATGGTAACTTCTTTGTGGGTCAAGTCAGTCTCCTAGGAAAAGAACGGTCCTTTCACTGGTAAATACTATGAAATATGAATGCAAAAATTTAAACAAACAAGAGAAAGAAACCACTATTATACTTTCAGATAAATAATTCATTTACGGGGCCTCAACTTACGTTTTAAAACATGGGTCGCCAGACATCAGCTGCATACTGATCAAAACCTGAATATTAGAAAAAGAAATGTGATTATAAAAGTTTCCTTGAGAGGAGAAGGCATGTTCTGTTCACCTATGCATCCACCACAGAACTGAGGACAATATTTTCTATTTAGAAAGTATTAAATAAAATAATTGCTTAATTGGGTTACATCCCGTATTAAATTGCTGCTTTAAAACACAGATTTAAAAACATTTTTTAACATTCAAAGCTTTGTAACTGCAGAAATCAGAGTGGAAAAGGTGGAAACAAAAAGCAAGTGCTGCCTTAGTAACAGTTGTGTGTTGTGTGCTGTGCTGGGCTAGTTTAGCGGTCTTCCCTCCCCGATTCCTGGGGTGCCCAAGTGTCTGGAATGTTTCCCTCCAACCTGCCGTGTGATGCTTCATGGGCTGCCTGAAGTGGCTTGCAAGAGCACAATGCTTCTCGCCTTTGTTCCAGCTTTAGATCAGAATTTAAACCTTTGCTAATGTTTTGTGAAATGCTGCTGTTCTCTACTTGTGACTGTCTTTTAAGACTCAACCACAGGGGGGCGCTTGGGTGGCTCAGTTGCTTAAGTGTTGGACTCGATTTCAGTTCAGGTCATGATCTCACAGTTGTGAGATGGAGCCAGCCCTGCATCGATCTCTGTGCAGAGTGTGGAGCCTGCTTGGGATTCATTCTCTTTCTCTCTCCTCTGTCTCTCCCTCTGCTCTTACCCTGGACTTCCTCGAGCTCTCTTTCAAAATAAATAAATGAACATTAAAAAAAAAAAAAAAAAAGACTCAGCCATAGGATGTTGTTACCTTCTTCTGGGACTAATAATGATAATGGTAGTAATAACAACAACGACAGCAATCGTGATTTGAGAATTAATTATATGCCAAGCATAAGCTGTGTTTTATAATGCAAGATTTCACTGGATCTTCAAAATTCCTATGAGAGATGGATACTTTTCATTTTAAGCTCAGGAGATTAATTAATACTTTCAAGGTCAGGTGGCTAATAAAGGGCAGAGAGGAGATCGGAAGCTAGGACTGCACGATACTAAAACTCACGGTCTTTATGAAGAGGAGGATATATAGTGGCTGACATGTATCCTAATATAACCTCATTTCTTTCTTATTGCTTCACCTCAGTGCCTCCACTACTGTTGTTTTCCTCTCTGAGTGCTATACTTATTAAATGTGTGCCCTGGACCTGCCATGCTGGCCCCTCCACCACAGTCTGGTTTCCAACTCCGTCAAAACAGCACTCTTGAGTATCTTGAATGTCTGAGGAAGGAGGGAGATGGCACATACAGCTTTTAAGAAATTGTGTGGGGCAGCAGAATAGAGGGGTGGGATAGTGGTTGGAGGAGGTGAGAAGTGGTTTCTATTTGTTTTAAATACAGCAGATAATAGAGCTGTTTATTCATATGTAAATGAGTATGATTCACTAGAGACAGAGAAGATTCGGAGACTGGACAGGCAGTCCAAGTGGCACTGCTCTGGATTAGGCAAGCTCTGGATTAGGCAAGCTCTGGATTCTACAACCTAATGGAAAGGACTGACTTCTGACAGGGAGAGGGGCATTTCCTTCATTGTAACCCAGCCAAAACGGGTAACAGGGCTGGAGAGACAGGAAGAATCATAAATTGGGTAATGGGAAGATGAAGGAACTTGAATTTAATGGCTTCATCAATAAAGGATAAAGCAAGACCATAAGCTGAGAGCAAGAGTGGTGTATGAAGATCCAAGGAGAGAGAAGGTATACAACAGAGTAGGAAATTGGGAAAGGATGCTTTCAAAGGAAGTACAGTTGCTTGATGACGGGGAGCAAGACCGAAGGAAAGGCAGCCGGATGGTGGTATGATGCTCCCCAGCAATGTTCAGCATTAGGACGCAAGCCCAGAGAAGACAGTTGAGTTTGATTGGGGTCAGGATTACTGAGGGGAGAGCAATGAGGGAGACAGGAGCATAGGAGTGAGGAGTATTTTTCAGCACAGGATAATCATGGATACAAGAGTCTAAGCTGGATAAAGAGGGAAGTGGAAGCAAGTGGAGGCTGGTAGATAGTGACAGTGGTCAGGTTAAGGATAGCCAAGTGAGCAGTAGCCCAAGAGGACTGATAAATAATAGATGGGGGCAGGGAATACTTGGAACTGAAATTCTGGAGGTGGTGAAGCTTCTAGAGGTAAGTCTAGGGTGTGACCATGAGGCGTGGAATGGAGTTGAAGAAAAAGGAAAGGTTCCTGAAGAAGGGTAGTTTAAGGAATGGAGAGGCCCCAGGCACATGAAAGATTAGCTAGAGGGAGAGAACAGCATAGAAAAGACAGTCTGCAAGGACAGATCACCCACCAGATGGCGGAGCCATCCAAAAATGACAGAAGGTATGGAAAGAAAAACTGTGAGCCAGGAGCGAAGTAATCAAAGAGTAGGAGAGAGGAGGTAAGTAGGTGACCAGGAGCTGACAGCTCAGGCAGGGATAGAGTGGTGAGAGTGAATGGTATGATCTCTAAAATAGTAACTTCTTTGTAGGGCCAAGTGGGAGAAAGGGTGTGAAAGGATCAGTGGAGAGCCAGAGGGAAACTGCTCCAGGAGCTGGCCCTAAGGAATAGCAGGGGATGGGGGAATATGAAATTAGAAAGTTATTTCAATTTCCAGAATGCCTGGGTGGTTTAATCCGTTAATCGTGGGACTCTTGATTTTGGCTCAGATCATGATCTCACGGTTCAGTTCGTGAGATCAAGCCCCATGTTGGGCTCCACGCTGGGTGTGGAGCCTGCTTCAGATTCTCTCTTTCGGGGTGCCTTGGTGACTCAGTCGGTTAAGTGCCTGACTCTTGATTTTGGCGTAGGTCATGATCTCACGATTTGTGAGGTCGAGCCTTGTCTTGGGCTCTGTGCTGACAGCGTGGAGCCTGCTTGGGATTCTCTCCCTCCCTCTCTCTGCCCCACCCCTGCTCATGCTTGCCCTCTCCCTCTCTAAACAAATTAACATTAAAAAAAATTTAAAAAAAGATTCTCTCTCTTCCTCTGCTCCTCTCCTGCTTGAGTGCATTCATGTACACATGCTCTCTCTTTAAAAAAATAAAGAAAGAAAAAAAAGAAAGTCATTTTAATTCCTAATGAAAACACTATAATTCAGAGAAGGGTTATCTTTCTTCTTATGCTGCAAATATGAAGAAACTTGATTTAGTGGCTGTTCAGCTTGTTTGGGATCCGTCTAAGAAGGAATAGTGCAGCCAGTTTTTTCAGAATCTGATGCTTAGACGGCATGGGAGCATGAAAAAACCACTGACCACATAGTGGCAGGGATGCCTTCTGGTCTCTGCTCTGCGGCCGATGACTGATGACCTTACTGAGACACTTAGCCTTCTGAGTCTCAGCTTCTTCATCTAGAAAATGTGCAGAATCTACCCCCATCTAACCAACACTGTTTAGCTTACACAGGTATGTGCAAGTGCTCTGAAATTTTTTCAGTCATATTTATTGAAGACAAAGTTTGAAAAGTGTAGGTATGGGGTAATTCTTTGCTCTACTAACATCTGACCATCCAGTTTTTATTAGGAATTATTTTCCTTTCTTATCATTAGATAACTTACCATCATGCGGTAACCTAACTGAAATGCAGCGAAAGGTCTGTCCTGTGAGGTTTACTAGATATGGGGCACTTTACATTTTCTCAGCTGGTCTCATTTAATACTCCCACCAACTGTATGTGTTCTCTGTGTGGCCACCACACTATGGGCCTGCTGATGCTACTTGGAAACAACATCGCAGAGACCCAAAGTGAGTTCCACCTGTCACTTTACTAGTTACTGGAGAACCAAGTGACTCCTATGTGCCCACCACAGCTGCCAGGGAAGTCACTTTTTGGGAGTGGTATATGTTGTAAGGTATTCATGCATCATGCTCCTTACTGTCGATAAGCCCATATGTTGTAGGAGTTGTGTGTACTGCTCCCCGAATGTTCACAGCCCCAGAAACACCTTAGGATCATGGAGGTGAACACTTGTTACTTTTTGCTGCTTCTGTGATTTGGGTAGACTTTTCCCCCTGATGGTGAGTATTTTCAGTGTGGTGTGGTTAGCTTATGATCTCAGTACTGATTCCCATCTTGCCCTTGACTGTATACACCTATGCTTATTCAAAGGCAGAGACTCTCATTTGTGGACATATAAATCTTGAAACGTACTTACTTTAAGAATGGAATTATCCTGTCTTGTATTTTTGGTATCATAGCCTTCCAGTAAACAGCGACGAGTGGTATTTCCTGATCCAGCAAACTCTGCCAGGTTTAGATCTGCAAAGCCCAGCTATGAAAAGAAAGGGAATTATATTAATAGAATATCTACTAGGCTTCTATCATATTCTCCTTAAAATAAACATTCAACCCATGCTCTAGCAAGTTTTCTCAAACAACAATCATTTGCAATTTTGCCCATCTTAACAGTATCTGCTCCATTATTTGCTTAATGTGTATCTTTAGATTGGCTCACTTTTTTGTTAAAATATATTACCTCTTCTATTCTTGTCTTAAGCAACATGATCTCTGAAATCACCGATTTGGTGTGCTAAACATATCATTTTTTTTCTGTACACATTGAAATATATAACTGTTGAAGTAAAAATAATGTTTATCAAACAATTAAAATCATTCCAAGTAGCAGTAGTACTGAGCCCACACTGGGAAACAGTAGCAGTCCAATCATGATTATTTGCATATTCACATAGAAAACTGATGAGACTTTCTTCTCCCTATTCTGGTTCTGGCTCCTTTCCCAGTTAACCGCTGGTGACTGCAGATAGTGGCAGGTTATTAAATTCTTACTTTAAATGCAAGAAGCAGAATGATTTAAAGTATCAAACGTTTTCTCTGGTATAAGCCCCTTCTTCACTACCTTTCACGTTTGCTTTGCTGCTCTCTCTTTATAAAGCTTTCTTCTCCCCTTCCCCAAAGCTGTACCCGACATCAACCCTCTGTGCTGCTATCCAGGAGTTCAGTTCAAACCTGTTCTTCCTTCTCATTATGACCCAGGTTCAGCACCCCCCCCCCCATTTCCTGCAGCTACCAGTGATGGCCCTGGCTCTTCCCTCTGATGTTGTTCAACTTTGATTTCTCATTTCCAAGTGGTAAAGAAATATGCCCAATCTTTTTCTTTTCTCTTTCTTTCTCTCTTTCTTTCTTTCTTTCTCTCTCTTTTTCTTTCTTTCTTTCTACAAAGTCTGTTCTACATGACTAAATGTATATAGTCTTTTATTAAAAACAAAAAATGTTTTGAATTTACGATTAAGCACATCTCCCTGAATACCTAATAAAAAGCATTAGCCATTTCAAACACTGCTATGATTTTAAGCTGCCTGTTTTAAGATTTAAAAACACACAATGGACACATATGAATGGAATTCGAGATGAAGATTTTAACTACAGGCTGGGGCATTAATTTAGTAGCTTTTATTAAGATTTTTTTTTAGGGGCGCCTGGGTGGCTTAGTCAGTTAAGCGTCTGACTTTCGCTTAGGTCATGATCTCACGGTTCGTGGGTTCGAGCCCCGTGTCGGGCTCTGTGCTGACTGCCAGCTCAGAGCCTGGAGCCTGTTTCAGAGTCTGACTCCTTCTCTCTCTGACCCTCTCTTGCTCACGCTCTCTCTCTTAATCTCTCTCTCTCCTAGAAATAAATAAAACATCAAAAAAAATTAAAAAAAAAAAAGATTTTTTTTTTTAAATGTTTCTTTAGTTTTGAGAGTGAGACAGAGAGAGCATGACCTGGGGGAGGGGCAGAGAGAGAGGGAGACACAGAATTAGAAGCAGGCTCCAGGCTCTGAGCTGTCAGCACAGAGCCTGATATAGGGCTTGAACCCACGGACTGTGAGATCATGACTTGAGCCAGAGTCAGAGGCTTAATTGACTGAGCCACCCAGGTGCCCCTAGTAGCTTTGTATAGGTACGAAAAGAATGAAGAGAACTTCAAGACCAACTGAAGGGCCACAACTGCTTAACGCAGTAAGTTGGAACACATCAGGCCACAGGTGACACCTACCGAATCTTCACATGGCTACTCTGGCCTCACTGCGTTTTGGGGGTTCAGTAGAATAAGCTGGATGCTTCCAGGGCAAAGCCTCATCCAAAGGCTCTATTTCATACATTATTCTTTCTCTTTAAACCTCCCGCATCACCTTTCCACCCAAACTCTGTGCTGATGCCTTGCTTTCTAATTCACTCAGAAGGTAAAAGCAATCAAAAGAGCACTTAACTTCCATAAGCTTTTTCTGCCAGCCACATCCACAGACCTGCCTGCAGCTAGACCTGCCTACTCTAAGTGAACTGGCTGTGCTCCGTCTGAGGCCACCCACTCTCCTCTGGCCTACTCAAGTTCACTGCTTCAGGAATTCCTCCTTCTCTTTCACATTCTCAAGTTTCCCTTCCCCACTGAACCATTCTCCTTACCACCACATGGACCCGCTGGAGTTTTTGCCATCTCAGTGAACAAAAGAAAAGGTCATCTCACATCTCTGTCCAGTCTGTTGAAATGATTGCGTTTGAATTTCAGAACGATCACTCTGGCAGTGATGTAGAAGATGGATGGAGGGAGACAGCAGAGGCAAAGAACAAAAGATAGGAGGCCAGTGCAGGTTTTAAGTAAGAAATAATGAAGGCATAACCTAAGGCACTGGCCTTGAGAGTTGAAAAAAGGGATGGTTTTTAAATTAGAAGGGGGAAGTCACAAAGTTTGTTGATCACAGATCTTTTTTTTACCTACCCACCGTCATTCAATGTTCAGATGTTCCTTGTTAGCAGAACCCTGATTTTGTTCAAGTGTCCACTCTTAGCTCATCCAAGTGCAAAAGAAAAGTAACCCAACCTCTAGCTCACTGTTAAACTGTGAGCCTAATCATGGGCTAGCCATGGAAATCCATTTCTCTTGCCCATGACTGGTTTAGGAGTGGGCATATCATCTAGTTGTGGCCAATGAAAGCTATGGGGAAATCCTCTGAGGGCCAACTAGGAAAAGTTTTCTCACTCAAAGAAAGCCATAGGAAGAGTAGCAGCTGGATTTTGTCATATGTGAACATGTGGACTAAAACTCGAGTTACCTGGTGACCTTGAGAAGAGCTAGTCAAGGACAACGTCATCACATAGAGAATGGAAGGATGAAAAGAGAAAAGTAACATGGGTTCTTGATGATGTTCTTCACTCAGTGGATTAACTAATTCTGGAGCAGCTCTCACATCTCAACTCTCTTTCATACCTACATGTTTTGTGACATTACAATCTCTAGGTGAGGACGTATTCTGTTACTTATAGCAAAGAGCATCCTAAATGACATTGCAACCGAGTAGTTTTAAGGAGTTAAGTAGACTTGATGGCTGAAGCTAGTGCCCTGTCCTTGGCTCCGATGACAGAACTGATGGAGATACCATCAGAGACTAAAAATAAAAGAGGAGTATGTGGGTTTCTGATAGTATTACTAATTACTAATTCCTATTCAGTAAAGAGGTGAGCACAGTCATTAGTAATTCCATATAGTTTGTAAAAGTATAAAGGATATTGGTGATCCTGTATATACAGAGTGCTAAGAGAACACAGAGGAGAGGTCTTATTACACTGGGGGTGAGGAGGTGGGATTGGGAATACTTCCCAGGAGAGACTGAATTAACAGATCCTATTGCTTAATGGAAACCAGAGGTCATCTTCTAGTAGGGAAGCTGAAATGCAAGAATAACATCCCATAATCAGCATTTAGAAAGAATATGCCTATAATTTACTGTTGGGTCCAGTTGTTCAATCTCAAAGTTGCTTTATTTGTTTTATTTATTTTTTAGATAGATCATGCGTTGGGGAGAGGGTCAGATGGAGCATGAATCCCAAGTAGGCTCTGTGCTGAGCATGGGGCTCAGTCCCACAAATCTGGGATCATGACCTGAGCTGAAAGCAAGAGTCAGATGCTCAACCATCTGAGCAATCCAGATGCCCCTCCAATTTTTATTTCAATTTGAAAGCTTTATTTCAAAACAGCCAATTTGAACAGCAATTAAAAAGCAAACCATTTGAGGGGCACCTAACTGGCTCAGTTGGTTAAATGTCCGACTCTTGGTTATCAGCTCAGGTCATGATCTTGTGGTTGTGATCTCGCAGTCATGAGATTGAGCCCCGCATTGGGCTGTGTGTTGAGTGTGGAGCCTGCTTGGGATTCTCTCTTTTCCTCTCTCTCTGCCCCTACCCCGCTCATGTGTGCGTGCTTTCTCTGTGAAAATAAACAAACATTAAGAAAGAAGAGGAAAACATTTGACTTTTAAGCTTATAAATAGCAATGAGCTAGCTATAAGTTCCAAAAGAATGAAAGAACATCCACTTACCTTTGCGTAAGCTTTTCCACCTTTTAATTCCTGTCAAAGATAAAAAACACTATAAGGATATCATATGATTAAAGATATAAAATTAAATATATGTCAAATAATCCTGAAGTAGTTATTTACATATTTACATACTAGAAAATATTGATAGTAAATTTCTGATGATCTTAAATTCAACTATTTGGATACCCATCCCACTCCACTTCCCAAATTACCAGAATTTTATTTTAGAATTTAACTTAAATCTGAAAGAGACAAACGGTAAGAAGACAAGCTAATATTTAATGTTATTTTTAAGAAGAAATTACTAAAATGTCCTAGACATGCTGCAAGAAACTGAATCACCAAAGAAAGGTTAAATTACTTGGTTACCAAAAAACTTACTTACTTAGTAAGCACATTAATAACACTGTAGAAAGATTTTCATAAGAGTTGAAGCCCCCACCCCAGAGATAACCATTGTTACCAAGTTTTAGGAACAGTCTAAAAGATGCCATGTATTCCCTTTTTATTAAAAAATACCATACTACACACGCTATTCTATACCTTACACACACACACACACACACACACACACATTGTTCCAGGTTAGTATAGAAGCCCTCTTAACTAATGGGACCAATACTGGCAAAAGTGGAAGATAACAAAAAAATAATATACAGATATCTTAACATTTTAATTTCAATTTGAAATTTATAACTGTACACTAATTTGCCAAATCTCTGGATTTAGGACACCACACAGATGTGCAAATTAAATGTAAAACACTTAGAACAAAGCCCAGCACACAATGTATACTCTGTATACGTTTTGCCATTACATGAGGGTGAACCTTTAATATATGAGGGTCAAACTCTCCTCTCCTGACCTACTTTTAAAAATGTGTTTGTTGAATGGAGTTTTCTCATCTTTCTTACATAAATGAGATACATAATACATTATATACCATTTCCAACTCTTTATTATTGAAGTATAGTTAACACACAACACTATATTAGTTTTAGGCACACAACACAGTGCCTTGACAATTCTAAACCGTACACAATGCTCACCATGGTAACTGTCATCACCATCTGTCACAAAACAGCACTATTACTATATTAGTAAACTATATTCCCTTATGCTGTACTTTTCATGTCCATGACATATTTTATAACTGGAAACTGTACTTCTTAGCCCCCTTTACTGATTTCTGCCATCCCTTCATCCCCATCCCCTCTGGTAACCAGGAGTTTGTTCTCTGTCCTTATGAGCCTGTTTTTGGGTTTTGATCATTTACTTTTTTTTTAGATTCCATGTATAACTGAAATCATACGGTATTTGTCTTTCTCTGACATTTCACTTAGCATAATAACCTTTAGGTCCACCCATGTTGTTCTGAATGGCAAGATTTTATTCTTTTTTATACCATTTCTATCTTTAAGGTAGTGAATTTAGGTTCTCTTCTCCCCTCCTTTCAATGAACAGCTGCATCTTATAGTGCAGTGCCAGCCACATCCCTGAGACATGATGGTGAAAGTCAGAGGAAATGGATTTAGCTGTACTGGGCACCTGGACATCAGGGCTGCCTGTAACTCCCACAAAGTAGATATTGTCGCCATCAGTGACCTCTTCACTGACCTCAACTACATGATCTACATGTTTTAGTATGAGTCCGCCCAGGGCACATTCAATGGCTCAGTCAAGTCTGAGAACAGGAAACTTTTCATCAATGGAAAACCCATCTCCATCTTCCAGGAGTGAGATCCCACCAATGTCAAATGGGGTAATGCTGGTGGTGGGTATGTTGTGGAGTCTTGTGGGGTCTTAATCACCATGGTGAAGTCTGGGGCTCACTTGAAGGGTGGGGCCAACAGGGTCATCATCTCTGCCCCTTTTGCAGATGCCCATATGTTTGTGATGGACACGAACCATGAGAAGTATGACAACTCCCTCAGGATTGTCAGCAAGGAGTCCTGTACCCCTAACTGCTTCACTGCTCTGGCTAAGGTCATCCCTGACAACTCTGACATCACGGATGGACTCATGATTTCATGCCATCACTGCCACCCAGAAGGCCATGGATGGCCCCCCTTGAAAGCTGTGTGGTGGCCAAAGGGCTGCCCAGAATATCATCTGTGCTTCTACTGGCACTTCCAAGGCTGTAGGAAAGGTCACCTCTGAGATGAATGGGAAGCTCATTCGCATGGCCTTCTGTATCCCCACCCCTAACATGTCAGAGTGGATCTGACCTGCCATCTTGAGAAAACTACTAAATATGATAACATCAAGAAGGTTGTGAAGCAGGCATCAGAGGGCCCCCTCAAGGGCATCCTGGGCCACACTGAGGGCCAGGTTATCTCCTGTGACTTTAGCAGTAACAACCCACTCTACCACCTTTTATGCTGGGGCTAGCATTGCTCTCAGTGACCACTCTTTCAAGCTCATTTCCTGGTATGGCAAATGAATTTGGCTACAGCAACTAGGTGGTGGACCATATGGTCCACATGGCCTCCAAGGAGTAAGAGCCCCCTGAACTATCAGCCCCAGCAAGAGGAAGAGAGAGGTCCTCAGCTGCTGGGGAGTCCTTGCCCCAACTCACCTCTCACCTGACACTGAGAATCTCCCAACCTCTACAGTTTCTATCCTAGACCTCCTGAAGAAGAGGGTACTTGTCATGTACCATCAATAAAATATACTGTGGGGCAACTGGGTGGCTCAGTTGGTTAAGTGTCTGACTTTGGCTCAGGTCAGGATCTCACAGTTTGTGAGACTAAGCCCTGTGTTGGGCTCTGTGCTGACAGCCTGGAGCCTGGAGCCTGCTTTGGATTCTGTGTCTCCCTCTCTCTCTGCTCCTTTCTTGCTTATGCTCACTCTCTCTTGCTCTCTCAAAAAATGAATAAATGTTAAAAAAATTTTTTAAAAAGTATACCATACTCAGCCAAAAAAAAAAAAGTGGTGAATTTAAATAACATGAGAAGCAATCTATGTTAAACTCTATTATCATGAATATTTGCTGCCTTCTCCTTTCCTGTCCCATTGATGTCAGCCATGGCCATCCCACTGGATCTACTCCCATTATGAATTATCAAATTATTCTTCTTTCTTATATTATTGTGACATTTCTTAATACCACCTTTCACTAAATAAAACAAAACTTTCCCTTGATGATCCCTGTCTCTTCTAGCTAATTCTTGCTCCCCTCTATAGCCAAACTCCTCAAACATTTCTCAATTTTCTGTATCCCACTTTATATTCAGTCTACTTCAAATATGTTTTTGTCCTCATCTTCCCTCTGCAATTGCTTTTAGGATTATCAATAATCTTCATTTTTGTTAAAGCCAGTCTCTGTCTTCAACTTGCTTAACCCCTAAACAGCATCTGACAAGACTGGCCATTCCACTTCCTGTCCTACATCATTTTCTTAGGTGCTGCAATTGCCTGCTTTTACTCCTACTTCAATGGTTGCTTCTTCTCATTCTCCTTTGCTGGACTTACTCCTGTATTAACTTCTGTAAAAAGAAGGCTAGTTGTACTCTAATTATCCATTTCCCCACTCTCAAAATAAAGTAATGACATTTTCTACCTTCCTTTTGTGATGTGGCAGAATGACTAAGATCTGGCCAAAATAATGTAATATCTGACATAGAGGAATTCTTGCTTCTCTTCTGCTAACAGCAATTTATACTTCCTCTGAGTGTTAGAGTGACCTAGGATTTGGTTCAGGGTCCCTTGTCTTCTCTGTCTATACTATTCCCCTGGATGAGCCCATTCAGGTGTGTTGCTTTAAATAAAAGCTGTATGCTAGTAATGCTCATGTCTGTCTTTAGTCTGACTTCTCCCCTGAGTACCAGACCAGTACCTTTACTTTTTTATTTTTTAGAGTTTATTTATTTGGAGGGAGGGGGAGGGAGAGAGAGAGAGAGAGCGAGTGCACAAGTGAGCATCCATGAACTGGGAAGGGGCAGAGAGGGAGACAGAGAGAGAATCTCAAGGGGCCTTCATGCTGTCAGCATAGAGCCTGATGCAGGGATCAATCCCATTAATGATGAGATCATGACCTGAGCCGAAATCAAGAGTTGGGTGCTCAATCGACTGAGCCACCCAGGTCCTCAGACCAGTATCTTTAAATGACTACTGGACATCCTTGCTTGAAATCTCATAGATACCTCCAATTTAACATGGCCAAAACAGGCCTGCTGATCTCTGCTTATTGGTCCCTGAAATTATTTCACTCTGAGCCTTTACCATTTTAATAAATAGCACAATTACCTATCTATATGCTCAGGCAACTAAGTTATTGTCAATTCTTTCCCCCTCATTTACCATATCCAGTCCATGAGTGGGGGTCTACCTTGCAGAGTCCATCCTGAATCATACCATCTCTGTGGTTATAGTGGCATACCAATACAAGCGTTTCTCACCTAAACCATCCTCACCGCCTGCGTGGTCTATCTGCAATGCATCCTCCACACAGCAGTAAAAGTGATCTTAGAAGATCATCTATTTCTCCTTAGTAAAATCCTCAAATGGAATCCAATTATAATTAGAATGAAATCCAAACTCATTACCATGTCTCGTAAGGCCTGACCTGATCCAGTGCCTCCAACCTCAACACCAAGTGCTTTCCCTCTCCATGTTACCATCTTCCAGCCAGGCTGGTCTTCTGGCATTTAAACATGCCAGATTTGTTGTTTATCCTAAATGGCGTTCATAGCATTCTGGAATCTGTGGCTTGATATTTTGATCAGTTTTAGAAGATTTCCACCACAATTTCTTTCCTCTCCTTCTAGGGCTCCGATTACATATATGTTAGACCTTTACAGTGTTTTCCATGTCTTATTTTCTGTATTTTCTACTCTTTTTTCGCTTTGTGATTTTGTCTGTATATTTTCTTTTGTCTTATTTTCTAGTTTTACCAAGCCTCTCTTCAGTTTTGGTAAACCTGCTGTTAAATCCATCTGTTGAGATTTATTTTCATCTATTTAGCTTTAAATTTTGGTTATTTTATTTCTCAGTTCTAGAATTCAATCTGCTTCTTTATGGTTTCTCTAATAAAGTTCTCTAGTTCTCTAATAAAATTCCCCATATCATTCACTCATCATAGTTACTGTAAAAGTTGTCTCTGATCCTCCCAAGATCTGTATCTTCCATGGATCTGTTTTTGTTATCTATTTTCCTTTTGATTTTTGGTCATGCAATCATATCTCTTGGTATGCTTGGTAAGTTTTGTGCATGATAACTTGAAGAAGTAATTTGAGGTTCAGAGTAATGTTATTTTCCTTGAGAGAAGATCCACATTTCCTTCTGGCAAGTTCTGATAAGGGCAGATCACCTTCATCCAAGTAGGCATTAAGCTGATTAGAAGCCAAGTTTCAGTCTTTTTACAGGCTGATCTATATTCACTACACTCCTTTTACGTTTAAACTCTTAAGAGAATCCCAATGAAAAGTTCAGTGTATTTACCAACTTTCTTCATGCTGATGGGTCCTGGACTCCAGTTTTTGTCCCTTTAGTCCTGTAAAACTGCTGTGAGGTCAGCTTCTTAGCCTCTCAGTCACTGCTTTCAGCTCAGCTTATTAACTACTGCTTGCAACTTAACAAATGCTTTGAGAGAAAAAGCAATGCCAAATGTCAGGCTCATCTCTTTATGCTTGTCTTGTCTATGATTCTAAGCTTCTTAAGTCTTTACTGCCATGACAGCTTCTGATACCTTCAAGCAGCTGTTTTTAATATTCTGTCTAGCTTTTCTGGTTGTTCTCAGAGGGATGGGTAGTCTTCAATAAGCTGGCCCATTAATTTCAGAAGCATAAATCCCCAGCCTTATAATCTTAGGGCCTGTAATGGATTGCATTGTGCATTTCTACCCCTAACCCTCAAGATTTTTGAAGTTCTAACCCTTCAGTACCTTGGAATGTGATCTTATTTGGAAATACACAGGTAATCTAGTTAGAATGAGGTCCTAATCCAATATGACTGGTACCCTTACAAAAAAAGACATTTGAATGTAGATACAGATAACACACAGAGGAAAGAGATGTGTGGACACAAAGGGAGAAAGCAGCTATGTGACTGGAGTGATGCATCTACAATGCCTGAGGCTACCCAAGGTTAGGAGAAAGGCATGGAACAGTTTCTTTTCTGGAGCCTTTACAGCATGGTCCTGCGGACACCTTGATTTTGACTTCTGACCTCCAAAACTGTAAGACTGTACATCTGTGTTGTTTTAAGCCACCCAGTTTATGGTATTTTGACATAGCAGCTCTAGAAAACTAACACAAGGCCTCTACTTGCAGGTATGGGATGGTTACTTTCATGTGCCAACTTGCTGGGTCATGGGGTGCCCAGATATATGGTTAAACACTATTTCTGGCTGCGTCTGTGAGGGTGTATCTGGATGAGATTAACATTTTAATCAGCCAACTGAAGAAAGCAATCTGCTTTCCTCAGTGTGGGTGGACACCATCCAATCTGTTGAGGGCTTGAATAGAAGAAAGAGGAAGAGGAAGGTTAAATTCTCTGTCTCTGCCTGCCTGAACTGACACACTGGTCTTCTCTTATCCTCAGACTAGGACTTACGCCATTAGCACTCCTGGTTCTCAGGCTTTGACTTGAACTTACACCATTGGTTCACCGGTTCTGGGGACTCTGGACTGAGACTGGAACTATGCCACTAGCATTCTAGGGTCTCCAACCTGCAGATGGCAGACTGTGGGAGTTCTCAGCCTCCCTAACTGTGTAAGCCAATTCCTTATAATAAATCTATATCTATATACCTATTTTTTGACTCTATTGATTCTGTTTCTCTGGAGAACCTTGACTAATACAAGGCTCTAGTCCTTTACTTTTTCTTTTTTAAAAACATGTTTATTTATTTATTTTGAGACAGAGAGAGAGAGAGAGAGAGAGAGAAGGGGATGGGCAGGGAGAGAGAATCTGAAGCAGGCTCCATGCGTCAGCACAGAGACCAATGCTTGGTTTGATCCCATGAACCCATGAGATTATGACATGAACTGAAATCAAGAGTCAGATGCTTAACTGACTGAGCTACCCAGAGCCTCCCCCAGGTCTTATTCCTTTAGAATGGTCTTTCCCTAAATCTTTACATAGGTACCTCCTCTTCAAATGTTACCTTTCAGAGAAGTCTCTACTGGCCCCTCCCCTAATTTTCTAAAATGATCTTTTCTCCCTAAGTTATTCTCTATTATCTCATTGTATTAAATTTTTTTTAATGTTTATTTCTTTTACAGAGAGAGGGAGAAAGTATGAGTGGGGGAGGGACAGAAAGAGACAAATCTGAAGCAGGCTCCAGGCTCTGAGCTGTCAGCACAGAAGCTGACGTGGGGCTCGAACTCATGAACTATGAGATCATGCCCCGAGATGAAGTCAGTTGTTTAACCGACTGAGCCACTCAAGGGCCCCTATCTCATTGTATTTCATATACAACACTTATCACCATCTAAAACAATCTTATTTGGTTACATGTTTACTCTCTGTCTTTCCTACCACTCTTCCCCCCAGGTCCAACCAGAAAGTAGAGTCCTTGAGGGCAGGAACTCATTCCAGTTCACCATGGTCCTTTAAGTGCCTACAATAACACGTGGCACTTTGTAGGAACTCACATTATTTGTTGACAGGTGATGGATGGCTTTCCTGTGTCCAAGGCAACAGAGTGTATTATCAACCTTTTGGATCGTTGTTAAATTTATAGGTAAAAAAGGGTGCCTTATTTGTAGTTTTAATATATGAGTGAGATTGAGTAATTTTTTATATGTTTGAAAGCTATTTATATTTTCCTTTTTGTGAAATATATTTTCTGTCTCTTGCCTGGTTTTCTAAAGGATTATTGATCTTTTCTTGATTTATTTGAATGAACTCTTTCCATACCAAGGAAATTAGTCCTCTGACATGGTTTGCAGATGTTTTCCCTTAATTTATGACTTTTCTTAAGGTATTTTTTTAATGTTTATTTATTTATTTTGAGAGAGAGAAAGATGGAAAGAGAGAGCATGAACAGGAGAGAGGCAGAGAGAGAGGGAGAGAGAGAATCCCAAGCAGGCTGTCAGCCCAGAGCCTGACATGGGGGTCGAACTCACTGACTGAGAGATTACGACCTGAGCTGAAGTTGGGTGCATAACTGAATGAGCCACCCAGGTGCTCCCATAAAGGTTACGTTTTAAAGCCAACAGTTTAATTCACCTGTAGTGGTGACGAATGGATTCCCTCTTTTCACTCCAAAAAAGTAGGATCACATGTTTCTATATATATTAGGTTGAACCATCTGATATTATCATCTTTGTAGATTATTTGTAATACGTCTCAACCTAATATGTTGAAAGGAGATGATGTAAAAAATGAAACACGGTCTTGGAATTAGAGAGATGTGTGTTTGAGTCCTCACTTTGCCATTTACTAGCTATGTGAATTTGGGCAAGTGACAACCTCTCTGAGCCTCAGTTTTCCTGAAATTGGAAAAAATTAACACCCATTTTCAGGGCTATCCTTAGACATAATATATGTAAAGTCCCTAAACAATGACTAACAAAGAGACATTCAATGAATGACAGGATAAATATATATACAGCGTTGCACCCCCATCCCAAATAATTCAAATAGGGTTAACACTTAAATGTACAGTGACAGGAAGCTAAGGTTCTTGGATAATAATTTACAACCTCAGATTTTAAAAATCGTATTTGTCATACTAATTTAAATTACTGCTGCAAGTGTGAAGTGAAATTACACAGAACAGTTCCAATGATAAAGCAGAACTGAATAAAGTGAGTCAGTGACTATGGAACTAATTATGGTTTCTGAAAGGGGAGATGTAATAGGCTATTTTTATACCTTCCTCACGGATACTCTGTAGATACAAGGATCCAGAATGCCTGTGGTGGCACTTGCACTCATTTTGCACATAAACGAGAACTTCTTCCTCCAGTGTACACAGTTGGCTTGCACCACTTCCCTGAGGGAACAACAACAACAAAAAAAACACAAGAAATTACTATTGATGACAGATTTTTAAAAGTGCACATACTCTTTCACTCAGGTCTGTAATGCAAAAGTGACAGAGTAAAAGCCTGAATTGGAAACATGAAGAAAACAGATCTTAACAATGTGACCTGAAAATCTCTAGTTTTAATTATTCACAGAAACTTAAAAGTGAAATTACTTATCAGTTTAAACAATATAAATTGAAACTTCACTACTCATACATTTCAGCATGTAATACATGTTTATTTTAGGTGTGCTGGCCAGGTACTAGGTGTTTGAAATATGAAGATGAGAATGACTGTGTTCCTAACCTTGGAGGGCTTATAGTTTATAGTTAGTATGAGAGGCAGAAATATTCAGTGCTTATTCTGAAATGAACTACTGTTACAGTTTTACTCCTGTAACGGAATATGCTGCGCTTCTAGGAACTTGGTTGTTCTTGTCACTGAGATCATTAACACATCAGGAATCAGAGGCAACATTAAAAAAAATCCTGTATTTTATTTTATTTATTTTTAATAGTTTATTGTCAAGTTGGTTTCCATATAACACCCAGTGCTCATCCCCACAAGTGCCCTCCTCCATGCCCATCACCTCCCTTCCCCACCTCCCCACACCCAACAGTCCTTGGTTTGTTCTCAGCATTCAAGAGTCTCTCATGGTTTGCCTCCCTCCCTCTCCCCCACCATTTCCCCCCCTTCTTCTCCCCCATGGTCCTCCGTTAAGTTCCTCCTAATCCTCCTATAAGTGCAAACATATGGTAGCTGTCCTTCTCTACCTGACTTATTTCGCTCAGCATAACACCCTCAAGTTCCATCCATGTTGCTACACATGGCCAGATTTCATTCCTTCTCATTGCCATGTAGTATTCCATTGTATAGATAAACCACATCTTCTTGATCCATTCGTCCATGGATGGACACTTAGGCTCTTTCCATGTTTTAGCTATTGTTGAGAGTGCTGCTATGAACATTGGGGTACATGTGCCCCTATGCATCAGCACTCCTCTATCCCTTGGGTAAATTCCTAGCAGTGCTATTGCTGGGTCATAGGGGAGTTCTATTGTTAATTTTTTGAGGAACCTCCACACTGTTTTCCAGAGGGGCTATTTTTAAAAAATTACATGAACACTTTTAGTTCAAGACTACAAGTTGAGGCCATGTATTAACCTCTGCTCCCTCTCCAAAACATTCTATGTTAATTTTTAAGGCATCATTTAGCAAGGACAAAGAGAATCAGAGAGGAGACAAAAATAAATGACCAGGGATGAATAAGTGATAATGATTCAGCATATCCAAGAAAGCTGAACATTAAGTTAGTAATGGTGAAGCGAAGGGCAGGTATCTTTTTAATGTTTTTTTATTTATTTCTGAGAGAGAGAGAGACACACACGCACAGACAGACAGCATGAGCAGGGGAGGGTCAGAGAGAGAGGGAGATATAGAATCTGAAACAGGCTCCAGGCTCTGAGCTAGCTGTCAGCACAGAGCCCGACGCGGGGCTTAAACCAACGAACTGTGAAATCATGACCTGAGCCGAAGTCAGACGCTCAACTGACTGAGCCACCCAGGCGCCCCAAGAGCAGGTATCTTAGACTTGTATTGAAGTGGAATGAAGGAGAGACAAATGGCAGAAGAACTGATTGAAAGGTGTTTTAGAAAGAGACCCTCAGATCTTCCTGACTCCTAAGGAGAACTGAAATTTATTTTCCTGATGAGGTACAACAGGGGGAATCTCTGTACGACCTGACATGAGGGCAGATTGAAAATGGCACCATGACATGATCATATTGAGTGGGGGGTGTGGGCACAGGATGAAAGATAACTTACTGAATGCTGAGCCTTCCAACCTTCTTCCCTAACCTGATTCTTCAGAATATATTCTTTAATAAGATATAGGAAGAACAATCAATGAGGAACTCCAACCAGCCCCAAAGAAAAGCTCTAATGAGATGAATGTTGACGGTGACAAAATTTCTCTGTCTGCTCAATCTACAGTAAACACCTGAGTCAATGAACCATCTCCACATGCACAAAGCTGCTAAGCAACTTTTGCTGCCTCATAGGTAAATATGAGCAAGCACCTGAGGGAAGTTTCTTAATATGAACAAACTGAGACCAAAATGAATAGCAAAGAGTCAACTTTAAAAAACCCAAGTCCATGCTGAAAGGAGAAAAAAAAGATTCTCAGAGAGACAGAAATTGCCTCTACCATAAAGGAATAGGATGCTATAAAGAGATAGGATGCTATATAGAGAACTAAAAAGTCATCATGGAAATCAAAACTATCGGGCTTAATACTCTATTTATCATTCCATATCCACTCTATCCTTCTCGGTGGCCCAGGAGCCTGGTCTTTATGGAAGAGATCAGCCAGGCTCAGTTGCCTTTTGTCAAACATCAGGACAGAGGGCAGGAGAGGGAAGGTGGCATGTTTATTCTGCTGGCTCTTTCCCTGTCAGATCATGTGGGGAATGGGTTAATGACTGGGGGCTGCTTTTTCCACAATAGGCCCATTGAACTTAGACTCTAAACTATATGCACTTATAACTTTGTTAAAATAAAAACCAAACCAACAAATTAAAAAACATTGTCAATGGAGTACCTGGGTTGGACATCTGAAAATGGGAGCAAAAGTATGTAACGTTGCAAGCTATTTCCCCGCAACTGCCTAAAAAACCCTAAAACCTTCTTTATTGGCTAATATACGAAAACTGAAGGTATCTTAAGGTGTTATTCTGCCAATTATTCTAGAAATTATGTCATATGTACAAAAATAACTCTAAAACTTTGTTTTATGTTCTACTTTTCATTTGTTTGTGAAATAACAATAATTCCTCAACATTACTATTATAGAAACCTATCTTTTAGGCTTTGATCCAGTTTAAAACATCCTTGTAAGGCAGCAGCCATTACATAGCAAATAGTATATGCTATCATTTGCACAAATGGGCAGTTTTAGCCTAAGTAGCAAAAATAAAAGAAGTCAGGAGTGCCTGGGTGGCTCAGTCAGTTAAGCGTTCTACTCTTGCTTTTGGCTCAGGTCATGATCTTGCAGCTGTGTGGGTTTGAGACCCACATCAGACTCTGCACTAGCAGCACAGAGCCTGCATGGGATTCTCTCTCTCCCTCTCTCCTTGCCCCTTCCACACTTGTGCTGTTGGTGTCTCTCTAGAAGTAAACTTTAAAAAATGTCTTTAAAAAAATAATTCTGTAGAGTAAGACAGTGGAAAATGAGGCCCCCAGCCTCACAAAAACAATGGAAACTAATTAATAAAGCTCCAGTAACTAAATCTAAAGAAATGGAGACCCACAGACTGCTTGATAAAGAATTCAAACTAATCATCTTAAAGAAGTTCAATGAGCTGCAAGACAACACTGATAGACAATGAAAAAAGTCAGGAATATAATACATGAACAAAATGAGAAGTTCAGTGAAGAGAAATGATAAAAAAGAAAAAGTCTGGAGCTGAAGCACACAATGTCCGAACTGAAAAATTTCAACAGTGAGCTTCAATAGTATATTTGCTCAAGCAAAAGAAAGAATCAGTGAGCTTGAAAAGAGGTCATTTGAAATTACCTATTTGGAAGAACAAAAAGAAAGGAATAAGAAAGTGAAGAGAACCTTTGAGACTTATGGGAAAGCATCAAAAGAACCAATATATATATATTATGGAAGTTCTAGAAGCAGAAGAGAAAGAGAAAGGGGCAGAAAACTTATTTAAAGAAATAATGGCTGAATGTTCCCTGACTCTGGGGAAATAAATATCCAGATTCATGAAGTCCAATATCTCAAATAGGTTGAATATGAAGAGTTCTACAGCAAGACATGTGACAATTAAATTATCAAAGTTAAAGACAGAATTTTGGAGGCAGCAAGGAAAAAGGAACTTGTCATATATAAGGGAACGCCCATAAAACTAAGACAGGATTTCCTCAGCAGATACTTTGTAGGTCAGCAAAGAGTGAGATGATATATTCAAAGTACTGAAATAAAAAACTGCCAACCAAGAATACTATACCTGGAAAAACTGTCCTTTAAAAATGAAAGAGAAATGAAGACCTTCTTATATAAAACTGAGGGAATTTGTCACCATTAGACTTTCCTTACAACAAATGCTAAAACAGCGTTTTTCCAGTTGAAATTACACTAAACAACATAAAACCATATGGAAGTATAAATCTCACTGGTAAAGATAAATATATAAACAAATACCGAATAATGTAATATTGTAATAATGGTGCATAAGTCAATTTCAACACTAGTATAAAAGTTAAAAGATGAAAGTATTATAACTATAACCACAAAAATTTGTTAAAAAACTTTTTACAGTTTACATACTGTAAAAAGAAGTAAATTCTGACATCAATAATGAAGTCCGTTGGTGGGGGGAACACAGAAATGTAGAGGTTTTGTAGGCAATTGAACTTAAGTTGTTATCTGCTCAAAACAGACTGTTATGGGAAGTTGTATGCAAGCTTCATGGTCACCACAAAGAAAAAAACCTACAGCAGATACAAAAAAGATAAAGAATCAAATTATATCACCACAAAAAAATCAGCAAGTCATATAGGAAGACAGCAAGAGAGGGAGAGCAGAGAAGAACCATAAAAACAGAAAACAATGAACATAATGGCCATAGTAAGTGTTTACCTATTAATAATTACTTTACGTGTAAATGAACTAAACTCTCCAATTGAAAGGTACAGAATGGCTGAATAGGTAAAACAAAAACAAAACCCCAAACAAGACCCAACTGCATGCTGGCTATAAGGAGACTCACTTTAGATTTAAGTACACACATGGACTGAAGGTGAAGTGGTAGAGTAAGATATCCTATGCAACATATGGTAGCCAAAAGAGAGCAGGGCTATATTTGTATCAGACAAAATAGACTTTAAGTCAAAAACAAAGACAATGTCATTATTTAATGATAAAAGAGTCAATTCAGCAGGAGGTCATAACAATTAT